GAAGGTCTACAATAATCTTCCACAACACATTAAGGATGTATCAAGTGATATTAAGATGTTTGAAGTACTACTGAAACAATTTTTACTACTACACTCTTTTTATTCATTACAAGAATATTTCTGTTACAAATCCCCTTAAGGTATTTGAATAACTCTACTCTAAAAGGAGATAAATAGCCAGATTTGTATTTTTGTATTTATAATTATTTATATTGGGTATTTTGTAACTTTTATTTTATTTTATTGTATACAAGCATTGTAATATCTTATTTTATATTACTTATTTATATTGTAACTATTATGTATCTCTTATTGAATTTTATCATTAATATGTATGTGCTAATAATGTACGACAGGACTGTTTTCCACTTGTAATTTACTTGTAATGGATTGTATTAGAATGTTTATGATATTTGTACGACAAGTTGTATCTTGAGCCAAATTTGTAACCAAGACGATCTCCACATCCACATGAGTTTGTAACTCCTGATAGGATTTATGGAAGTGAAATAAAGTATGGTATGGTATGGTATGGTATATGAAATCATACAAAAATGTATTGCTTTCATGTAAAGATCCAGTATTTTCAACACAAATATTAATAAAATTTACTTACACACTATTGCTGTTTGTCCTCTGAAACTCTTCTCCTTCTGCATTGACACACTGCTAAGCAATTTGGTATGTCTCAGGCACTTAGATGCTGCATTCTCATTGCAAAGGCTTGGCTTTAATTTCAGCTGACTTCATGTGAAATTCATATTGGGCAAAGTGGCACACTGAAGAAGGTTTTAGTCAGAAACACCCCACCTTATCTCAGCTAATAATCATTCTGCCATTGCTCCAGATACATCTGTCACCAACCCCTCATGTAGGCAATAACCCTGATCAAGCAGCAAGCTGTCATTTCCTCAGTCTTTAAGTTGGCGGCTGGTCTCCACCTTGCCATTTGACTGGTTGTGGAGCAGAGAAGCCTGTACATGAAGCAACGCTGGAAGTCTACATGCATTGGCTCTGTGAATACATAGCTGTCATTGTACAAACACACTTTAAGATAAAATTATTAATTTTTTGTACATTAACCATCGTCCTATTTTTTATTTAAGGCCGTTTTGGAGGCTCGACTCAGTCTCCATCCTGGGTAGGCTTTTACCTGAGAGCAGTGAGAGTACTGTCTCTGAAACGTTGTTTTTAAATAAAAAAAAATAGGACAATGGATAATACCCAACACGTCAATAATTTTATTAACATGCCATCATCGCAAACTTTTAGATCGTATTTATGCTTTCTGATGTAAGAATAGTAAAAATACATGGGCACAAGTACAGGGAATAAAACATATACGAAAAAACAATTTTTTTTTGGTATTATCATCTGGGGTGTTGCACTGCGTAGGATGGTAGAAGTTTCCTGATGTGTCAGAGGAAGCTACTGCCTCCATCTTCAGGGTTAAAATGTACGACGAACTAACCTCAATCACTAACCTCAGCTTAACTCATACCTGACGGACCCGACAGATTAGGTGTTTCCCACTACTCCTGAGGACGTAAACAGATCCATTTTCAGAAATGCTGTGATCTCTAGTTTTTGGAAAGCAAATGATCGACGAGTCGGTAACCCAGCAATTTTCAGTGTTGATACAGTACTGTCACAACCGGTCAGAACCCTTTAGAATCTAGCTGTAAATCTGTACCGCAATTTACGGTATGTACACAAAAATGAATAATACTGATGAACACAGACATAAAATTTGTCCTACAATTTCAGATCTTTACACGCAACAGCCGTGGGAAATTATATATATATAATTTAGGGTAAATTTGCAAACCACTCCTTCAAATATATGTTGGCCACCCTGTGGAGGCCCGAGGTTTGGTAAATATTATGTTTACGTGAAACGTTGAAGGAAAAATGGGCAAAAAGAGGAAATTAGGAAATAAAGACGATGAATATGAAATTGATCCAGTGCCTAAACATTTAGTTGTAGCACATTTACGAAACCAAGAGAAGCGCCTGATAATTGTTCTCGAAAACGCACAATTGGAGACTGTTAAAGTGAGCAATATTTTGAGGTTGGGGTTAGGTAGTTGAAATAGCGATCTAACATGTATATAGCGTCAGCGTGTTACAAACATCTGTATTTAATTTCAGGTGGGGAGTTCTTTTCAGTTATTAAACTGCGACGATCACGTGAGCATTCTGAAGAAACATAATCGCGAAGTTGGTTCATGTCGGCCGGATATTGTTCATCAGTGTCTTCTTATGTTACTTGATAGCCCCCTCAATAGAGCAGGTCTTCTTCAGGTAACTGATAATCTATAAAACTTTACAGGACTAAAATTAGAGTCAGATACTGACATACCTAATGTATGTACTTTCTGGCTGTCAAGCTATAAAAGCTGAGAAACGTGGCTGTAATGAGGTTGTGGAAGGTCTCGTGGGTCAGCTCCTTGCAGTGTAATTCCTATTATTCTCAAGGCATATAGCCGTTTTTCACACAAATGTTGGTGGTGCTAAACATTGCTGGCAGCAAGTACTTTGGGCTAATGAACTGTCCAGAATTTGGTGTCCTTGAGTATTAATATGCTCTCTACCAGGTGCTTGTGTATTTCTTGCTGAATGGTCTGATATGTATTAGACTACAGTAAAGAGGAAGGAGTAGAAGCTCTTGAAGGGGAGCACATCAATTCGCTGCAGATGTGATTTCTCATTGGTGAGGTTCACACTGAACTAGATTTCCCCCTTACTCAGTTTAGAGTCACATGATGAATTTTTATAAGCACTTGGAACTGTCATATTAACAGTATTATGTCTGGGAATTTCAGGAACCTTCTGGTATTGTTTATAACTTCCTATAATGGTTTGTTGCTCATTGCATCTATTTTACTGATTATCAGTGATGCTCTACAATGATTTTCAGTAGGCTACATCACTCCACCCTGTTGCAACTTCATTTTTATTATTGCTTATGGTGCCCAACGGTTAGAGTCTTTTATTGGAAGCATATTTGACGTTTTAGTGACCAGTACCAGGACTGGTGAGTAATTATACCATGATCTGTGGGGTTGAATTAAGCATGGATAACAGGTGCTTCCTGATTTATATTTTTTAAATTATATGCACTATGAAGAAAGTCGTCTTCTGGGTTTTGGCGCCGTGTATTCTTCGTTTTGGTCAAAACAAAGAATACACGGTGCCAAAACCCAGAAGACGATTTTCTTCATAGTCATCGCCATGAAAACCTCAAAACTTACATATATGCACTATTTTTTGCCACCTCCATTACTGCGAATAATCAAGCATTCACTGGAAAGATTTGAAATATTCACAATCTGACACATGATAAGTACAAAGAACATTATATTTCTTGATAAAATTAATTTCAATTTTGACATTGCATCACAGTGCAAAATACACAACCAATATTCATGTAACTGATCTTGGGGTATCCCAGTAATTATAACTTTGTATTTTAGTTTGCATTCATTAGTTTCTTATATATATTTTAATTGTTATTTATCTTATGTAATATAACAATGTAATCTACTGACAGTTTCTATATCCAGTGGTTATGTACCTGAATGGATTGATAAATTATAATAAAAATAAATACCCAATAAAAATCACCACGGTGGTATCTCATGGGAGTTATGAGACCATAAACCATAACAATTTGAAACAGTTGTATCCACATTGAAGTACCAGCATTGAACAAATACAGTTAAACAAAAGAGCCATTACCAGAGAAGATTAGGTATGGGATTTACATTTAACCATAGTTTGTGTTATGATTCAGCAGCATTACAGTGTGACAGAATGGGTACACTGTAGAACACCCATTCTAAATATATGCTGGAAATGATAAAAAGTAATTAGTGATAACTTCATGAGAAAAATAATATATGTTAAACGTGCATATTAAATGTTATGCCAGATGTTTACTGTTTAGTGGATATCTTTTTCAGGTTTATGTACATACAGAAAAGAATGTGCTAATAGAAATTAATCCACAAACAAGAATACCACGCACATTTAAGAGATTTGCTGGACTTATGGGTAAGTTATATTTCTTCAGATATGTCTAAATCTTTATGCCAGGAAAATTCTTTTGGAGGCAACTTGCTCCCTTCCTTGCGTAAGGTGAATTGCTACAGTAGTAAAACACATGATCAGTAAATATGTTTTTGTTGAACCTTCAGTGCAGCTACTACACAAATTCAGTGTCAGATCATCGGATGGACCAACAAAGCTACTGAAAGTAATTCGCAACCCAATTACCGATCATCTTCCAGTGGGCTGTCGCAAACTTGGCACATCATTCTCGGCAACGAATGTGGTTAGTCCTAAAGATTTGGTACCCAGTGAAGAGCCAATCACAGTTGTTGTAGGTGCAGTGGCCCATGGCAAGGTATCTATTTATAAGTTGCTTATTGTGATTTATGAGCTGTATCCATTTGACTTTGTAACATCCAGTGGTTACTATATATACCCTTTGCTTTAACATCCTAAAAGTCTGCACTCTACCCACACAGTGTATCTATATATTCCATATGGTTCTCACAACAGATCTGGGGTTAGCTATGAAAAGGTTATCATCAAGTACAATATATGATAAAGAACTACCATATCAGTAAAAGTCTAGTTAAAATTTGTATTTTTCTTAAACTTGTAAACACGCAAATTTACAAGTATCCTGAATGTTAAATGGCACGACTGTGGACGTCTGGTTTGTGACACCATGCAGACTGCTAGGTTGATACTAGTGTTTCAGAGAAAGATGCTGCCTCCATCTTCACATTGAAGATCACAGTCTTAACAGTTACTGCTATGGAAACCTCAAAATGTGTACCATAAATGCTATTTAAATGTAATGGCCTCATCTTTATGCTATAGGTGAATCCGGAATATGTCGAAAGCAGTGTATCGATCTGCAACTACCCACTGTCAGCAGCTCTCACATGCACGAAACTGTGCTCTGGCTTCGAGGAGGTGTGGGGTGTAGTATGACACTTGAATGTCTATCACGCAGTAACATTTCAAATGGATAATAAATGGCGTTTCTTTCAGAAAATAATTGGTTGCAGTTTAATATTAAATAATTTTTATACTGCAGAACAACTTTCCTAATGGAGTAGGTTACAAATAAATATTTCAAAGAACCACTTGGTGCTGATTCGCAATATCCCTATCTGTATCTGTTCCTTGACAACTATATATATTCATAATTCTTCAAAACGCTGTAAGAAATTATGGAACTTGGTCAGTGAAGATTCATTAAGAATGTTTTCCAGGACAGAAGAATAAAAATTGTACTAATCTTTTTCCTATAAAGATAAAAATAACAGAACAGTCGTCTCACTTATTTCAGTACCTAGTAAGTAGGCCAAAAATGCAAACCAGGGACGACACGGAAGTCACTACCATTTACTACAATCATACTGAGATGTTATTGGTACCTTTAAACTCTGCGTACCCCATTAACGAATAATCGCAAAAATGTAAGCTAGCACTCAGATTACAGTATTTTGGTATACAGTGCTGTGTAGTTTGATAAGTATGTACCAACATTTTGGAGCAATCTGTGACTTCCACCATCAGTGCAGTGGAGGCAGTAGGGTACATATTAACCAAACTACATGGTGTCACATCCCTGAAAACTGTGAACTATATGCTCACTGCTGTGATATCATCAGATCTCATGAATTAGTATTATTGACTGTAGTAAAACAGAATGTTTCATAGTTTTAATTTCAGACATCCAATCAACTTGTTTCATAATACAATTCAAGATAATTTTTTTTCTGCCAAGTAGGCACACCATAGGTCAGGCATGCATGTTGCATCAAAGTTAATCTTACTACATATAGCATGGTCATAAATAAGATACTTTTCATCAGATTTCCATCTCTGAGGTATCCAACCAACTAAACTCATCAATGTACACACAAATAACTGTGACAACTTTTATAATATTGAAGTTACTTATGGAATTACTGATCTAGAAGCGAAGTCTGTAATGACAAAATGATTTTAGTTTTCTGTGTAAATCTGATATCTGTATACTGATTGAAAATATGAGATAAAAAAACAAAGGCTATAAAAATTTTGATAAAATATTTTTTTAATATCATTACATAAAATTCATTATCCATCAACAGCTACAGTACAAATACATACAGAATAAATTAAACATTAAATTAATGATCCATACATATTCTATATCTCAAAAATAATTATTTTTTTTCTAAAACATCTGAGGGTATATCACACCTTATGGAAGAAGAGCCCAGTGCCTTCGTCCCATCATAATGTTCAACGTAGAACCTAATAAATTCCTAATGACAACATAACAATCTATGTGAGTATCTGATGACGCACCCTTGAAGATGTTTTAGACATGTAATACTGTAGTTTCTTATATGAACTATGTTCCCTCCAGTCAAATTCACATAACTCCTCATACTGTGTAATATCAATTTAACGTTCTACTGATGTATTCTTTGACTCGAGTCATTGTGAAGATACACGGTTCAAATGCAGTCCACGGGAAACTAAACTTGGTCTCAAAACACCCATGTCAAGGGCATAAAACTCTTGACACGGTCACATGCTATTGTATATAATTAAAATATCGATCTTGCAACTTAAACTTAACATAAATTAATATAGGTACAACACTGCTGACAGCCCCTTTTCATTTCATGAAGTGGAAAGGGGGGGGGACAGAGGGTAAAAGGTAAAGTTGTTGCTGTGCTTCACTAATGAAGCACCACACCATGAAGGCATATGGGGGAGTGGTCAGCTTGAAGCCCTGGCCACTTTATCCCCGGTGGAAAGAGCCCCAGTACCCATTGGATAGGAGGCTGGGTGGGACCCAGAGCCAGTCTGGATGACACGGAGAAGAGAAAATTCTTAACCCTACCAGGACTCGAGCTCCAACACCTCAGTTGTCCAGCCCATAGCCAGTTGCTATACTGATTGTACTATCCCAGCTCTCCAAAATAAATATAAAAAAGAACAGAATTAGAGAACCTTGAATTCAAAATTTGGTAACAGAGCTAATGTGGTTTTGGCTATGTAAAGAGACTGGATAGAACAAGGATGCCTGGAAGGGCTTCAGAATTAAAACTTCTATGGGATGACGTGGAACAAGATGCTTTAGCCAGATACCAGAACACACCATGGGAGATGTTACATGTCAGCCTTGACATAGGGAAATTAATACCATGAAAGCCTATGTAACAAGCGAGGAGACTTCCCACTTTCAACAGGTGTTTTGTATATATAAACTAACTTCCATAGTGTATGACCAGCCAAGTTATGGGTCAGGGTCATCATTGCAAAACCTTAAAGTAATTTACATTACCAGATTTGACTATATCTTACATGAAGAGATCCCACTGTATTGCAGAATGCAACTGAGGATAGTCACTTTCACGATCTCTGTGCTACAGTTTCCACCATCTCACGATCTTTTGTTTCAATAGGAAGAAAGAAGCATGCCACAGCTGCTAACAAGGCTGCCAACCCATACACAGCTGTTGCGAACATTAGAGATGACTGCATGAGAACCTAAATGGTAATCATAACAAAATTTGTAATGAGCAGGACCCGGATTTCGATGACCTGAAAATATTTAAAAAAATCCAGAAAAATGACCTAAAGGAGAAAAGAAAGAACACTTCACTTTCATGTTATTCACATTTCAGAAAACATATGAAGAAAATGGGCAAAAATGACAAGAAATACCCTTAAAAGTTAAAAAAATTACCCCCAAAATGAAAAAAGTACATATAAAATTTACATTTCTGTAAACAGCAGCTCATACCCGAGATATATATATATTCAAGAGCATCGCATAGGATACAAGGAAAAAAAAAATGACATGTCATCAAAATCTGGTAATGAGGATTTGGGATTTCTGGGAAGTGACATCATGTAGTCTGACAGATCGTTACTGATGTTTCAGAGGAATATGCTGCCTCTGTCTTCAGAGCAGATCTACCCACCTATGGTATCACATCCTAGAAGATGGTAATCTTTAGTCATTGCTTTGAGAACTTCAATCTTACACAGTAAACATCCATAAGGAGGCTATTCTAACAAATGTCTGCAGTTTCAAAACACTCTTCTACCCTCAAGATGAAGGCATGATGTTTATCTGAAATGTTAGTAAATGATCTATCAGAATGTACAGCATCACATCCCAGAAACAATGATTTTCATAGTCGCTGCAAGGAAAACCTCAAATCTCACATAATTCTAATATAATTATATTAGATTATAATCATACATCATGGTCTATAGTATAGCTGCATTATGTATATATGGTATGTTTAAGGCCCTCTATTGTACACTGAAGTTACAGTGTCAAATGAGATTTAATAAAATGGCCAATTTCACGAAGAAGTCTTTATTCATTATTCAAGGAATTCCCCACTTCTTATGGAAACTGAAGGTACGCGTTCACAAAAGCCTGCCATTGAACCCTATCATGAACAACAGTGTCAGAACCTGTACGTTCATTCATATTCATTCATATTTAATGCGTCTTCCAGAGATATATGTATATAGATATAGAATCCATCATCGTTTATACTAGATAACAAAATAATAATAATAAGATTTTTAATCGTAAAAAATAAATCCGACAAAACATAAAACATACACATGCTTCTATGAGAGGCCACATATAATGTATCACAAACTGTGCAAGGTAACACTATAATAAAATAATTGATCATACAATGTAAATCTGACTGTACACCCATTGCACAATAACAATCATTTATGTACAAAATATAAAACATGCACATACATCTGCAATAGGCCACATAATGTCACTCTTGTCATCGTAATACATGGTTTAATTATAAAATCTTATTGTTTTAATCCTATTTCTAGTAATCTTATTGTTTTAATCCTACTTCTAGTAATGTTTCAATTAAAAAAATCATCAATGGTAACAAAAGGAATTCTACAATAAGAATGTTGTCATCTTAGATTTAAAACTACTACCCTCCCACCTATATTTGGGTATCCCAAACCGAGGTCTCTTCCTTTGAGGTTTTCCATTTACAATTGTGGCTGCATTTCTCAGCCCTCATACTGTTTACTGTAAGCTATGGGACACTGCTTACCTGTGCAACATACGGGGTTACCATGGCGCCAAGCCGGGCCATGGCGCTGCAAGTTCCCACACCGACTGCTCTCAATGGAGTTGGGTACACCTAAAAGTCACATAGTAAACATGCCACAGGAAAAACTGTCAAGTTTATTATAAATCTAATTAATGAGATATTGCCCTTAAGGCGTAGGAATCAGGATTCAAATCCCAGCAGGACAAGTGATTTCCCTGCTCCAAGTTTCCAGACCAGCTCTGGGGACCACCCAACCTTCTATCCAACACATATCAGGGTCTACTTTGTGGGGGATAAAGCAGCCTGAATGTAAAGCTGATCACTTACTAACATCCAGTGCTGAGACTAAGAATGCACACAGCTATACCTAACTAATACATATCAGAAATGTTATATTTTAGTGTCCTGTTGCACTGATTTATGCCCATGATTTATTCTGACCCTCTTACAGTGCATACATTTAATCACCTTACTCTTCTCTCTTGCACTACATGTTTCAGCACTAAAGTGCCATCTTCAGGTGCTTTTCGATGTACGTCAAACTACTGCATTGCATGCCCTGTTGTCTTTATACTAAAATAACTAAAATATATATTTGTCATATATATTGCTAAATTTTAAATATTAAAAATGTTAAAACTGTTCAGGATTTGTCATCCTTATGTCGTATCTCAGTACACGAGTCACACCTATCTTCTTCTGTCGGAGTATTCTTCCTACTTTCATCTGTATTGTGCTTTGCGTCGTGTCTTACTCCTGTGCAGTATAACACACGCAGTCACAATAAATGGAGGACTCTGTGGGTTCTTGATAACACAACAGGACCTTGTCATACCATGACTCTGATCATGCTTCCCAATATTATTATATGTTTCATGTTATGCAAATTTTTATGAAACGTATTAGTTTGCTCACTCACTCATGGAGCTGAGCCGTTTGAGAAGCTGCGAATTGTGCAGCTACTCAAGAATTTCCCAGCATTTTATAGAACCCAAAGGTTCATTACTGTGTTCACAAGAGTCCTATGATAGTCCCTATCCTGAGCCAGATCAATCCAATCCATATCTTCCCATTCTGTCTCTCTAAGATCCACTTTAATATTGTTCACCCGCCTACGCCTTGGTCTTCCCAGTGGTCTCTTTCCTTCTGGCTTTCCCACCACTCGTTTACCTGCTATAGTTAGAAATCCTCATGAGGTTACTTGAGTATCAGTTTCACTCAGAGCACAGGTAGCTTATAATGTGGGCACTGAGTCTGTTCCCCCACACCTGCTTAATACCAAGAGTGTGCTCTCAAAACATATTCCTCTATGAAAAGTAAGTTCTATGTATCCGGAACTGGTCTCACCTCTGGTGTATACACGTATGCAGCTTGGAACACTCCAGCTATGATACCTCGTGCTAAGAACAGCATAATGGTAAGAAATACACGACTGAAACAGGACAAAAAACGAAAATTTCAAGTATTGTAACGTTCATTTATGAAGAGCTCTGGCATTCAATACAAAATACTGAAGGTGACTTCAGGTAGCATATGTAGCTGGAGACAAGGCCAACAGACTTGAGGAGCCTTCTCTTTAAAACTTTCAGTGTCATCACTATACAGCAGGAATGATGAATAGGAAGGATCTGGAAGAAAGCAGTTATGATCTAATCAAAGTACTATCCCAGCATCTACCTGGGACTGAGGAAAACCATAAAGAATACTGGTCAGGACAGCCATGTTCTCACCAAGATTCAAACCAAGCATCCCCTGAATACAAATTTAGAATGACCTCTTGTTGAGGAGTCCTGTATAATCGGGTGCATCAGAAGCATGGTTAAATAAACCATGAATAAACAGGAATAAGTCACAGTGAACTGCTCACTGATGCTTACATAATGGAGAGTTATGCACTCAGGCCCTAATCCTACACATGTTCATTCCACCTGCCACAGTTTCGCCTTTGAAGAGTTGTATCTTCTGGGATATAATGCCACGTAATCCACTAAAAGTCAGCCAACATTCTGGAGGAACATGTCACCTCCATCTTCAGGGTAAAAAAATAATCTAAGCAAGAAACTACCATGAAAGCTTGCTACCTGTTTAAAGCTGGTTTCTTCTTTGACCCTGAAGATGGAGGTGACATGTTCCTCCTAAATGTTGGTTGACTTTCAGTGGGCTAGATAGTGTTATATCCCAGAAGACAGAACTCTTCATAACCACTGCTGTGAGAACCTCAAATCGTACAGCTTTGTCTTTTCCTTTTTTTTAATATTTTCTTCAGTGACGTATGCAGCCAAGGCTCTTCTTGTATCACTGTATCTACAAACTACACACTTCAGTTCCCTTTACAAACAACTGGAGACCCTGAAATCACTAAATACGGTATTCTCCTCAGTACAGTCACCATACTGGAAGACAAAACTGTGTATCTGAGAGGCTTTAATGTGATATTCACAGTATTTAATATTAAGGTAAAGTTTTCCCCGGTGCTCAATGAAGTAAGCACATGAAGGTGTATGGGGGAGTGGATGTATAGGTCCACATTTTCTTGTCCCTGGCACTAGCTGCAGGCGAGAGGACAGATTCATGCCCCAGCTGCTTTACTCCAAGGGAAAGAGCACCTGGTACCCATCGGACAGGTCGGCTGGACCCCACAGCTGGTCCGCACAACGTGGATTACAGAAAATTCTTGATCCTACTGGGACTCAAACTCTGACCCATCAGTTGTCCAGCCCATAGCCAGTTGCTATACCAACTACGCTATCCCAGCCCCTATTATTCAATATTAAGAGATTTTAAAATGTAAAATGAGCTGGGGCAGCTCAGTAGTATATCAATTGGTTATAGACTGGACAGCCAAAGAAATGGGGTTCGATTTCCAGCAGGGGAAAGAGATTTTTCTCTTCTTCACAGCATCCAGACTGGCTCTGGAGCCCAACCAGCCAACAGATATCAGGGCCTACATTTCCAGGGGTAAAGCAGGCGAGGGCGTTAAGACGACCACTTGACTTGACTGTCTAGTACCAAGGATGAATCTACAGCTCCACTCCCTCATATGTCTTCATGGTGTGGAACTTATTTAATTAAGCATACATAGAACTTCACCATTACCTTTACTACCACAATAATGGTACTTACTTATCAGTACAGACGAAGAGAAAGGAGATGCAAATTGTGAAAATTATAAACTGAACTGCCATTGTATTCTTCCTTCCGCACCGCTCAATTACAAATACTGTTGCAAATATGCCTGTAATCAAGGAAAATTATCTTCAGGCTTACAGAAGCTAATATGGGAAACCAAGATGTAATCCTTCCATTACCACATTCTTAAAGTACTGTTGTGTCCTTGCAGTGGGATTTTGTTGTTGTAAATAACAACAAAATACATTCTGGTGACTAGAACACTTCTAAAAAGTTTCTCGTATTGTAAAAAAAAAAATATATTATGGAACAGACACACCCAAAAATAATGGAAACAAATTCTATGAAGTATATTTTAAATTGCTACCAACATATAATGCTGAAACGTGGACATTTATAATGAAAAACCAATGTAAAATCCAGGCAACATGCATGACATCTCTGAGAAGCACTGAGGGGAAACCAAGAAGGGATACATATAAAGTGAAATTTTTAAAAAAGATGTTGGAATTAAAAATTTAATAGAGTTAAGACACTTTAGTCACGTAAAAATGGGTAGACCAGGGATACTGAGGAGGGCATTAATATTAAAATAGGACTATGACATGATGCATACTAAGATGTTTTAGCTAGGTAATATCAAAGACAGGAACAGGTTCCTCTAGAATACTGGTACCTTTTAGCAGGATACAGTACACCACATAGAACAAAGCGGAATTTATACTTTCTGGTATGAGAACCTCAAATCTCACAAGCACCGAAGACATCAAGAATAGAGGAAAGGAGCTGCCAATAAATCGAAAAGGGAACACTATTCGAAGAAGAAATTTGAGACTTTTTGTCCTTTTATCCACACAGAAGAGATCTGATGCAAAGTGACGGAAAAGTGCTTTTCATGAATGCAAAATATTAGGCATGAGAAGGAATCAAGAAAATATCAAGTCAAGACTTCAGAAACGTTTTGAGAATCAAGTTGGGAAGGAGAATTTTCTCTATTAGACAAAATTTTCACTGTAATCACAATTTACAAGACTAGCCACTTTTCTGTGGTACACTGATGCATGCTGTTTATCCTGTTCTGATGTCACATATAGGAATACTCACAGATGCTGTGTGAGAAAGTGTGTGGAAAAGTTGATTCATGCTAGTCACCAACCATTATGATTCTCATGGACTGGGTACATTGCATGTTACAGTGCAAAACAAGAGATGTCTGAACATTCTAAAACAGAAGACTGAAAAATCTACATTCAAATCAAGACTACTTTTTTTTTTCTCAATTTGATCTTGAAAATTTGATTCATACATGCCTATTATATTGTCGCATTGCCTATGTAACGCAACAAATAAATTCACACAGGGCTCAGATTTAGTGAACAAGTTTATTGGCCAATATCCTCCACATTTCCAAGTACGATTATCATCCACCTATAATGTCGCCAGACATTTCTTACAACACTGTTATGGTTACTTCTTGCACCACTAATTTCAGTGAAGTCTTCTGTTCCCTCGGAGCTACATGAAGACTGGCTACTCTTCTGAGGTCAGCTACAAACTGCAAACTGCACTCGTCTTGTTGAAGCTGGAGTCTTTTATAACCTGCTTTCAGACGGAATACAGCGCACTATGGAGGAGCCTTTGGTCTCGGACGCTGTTGTGCAACGAACCTTTTGTTGTCTTTTCATCTCCGCGGAAAGGCGTGTGATGCTTAAGGTATTCCTAGGCAACGGCCCACTGGTATTGCGTTTCCATGGAAGTATCCCTTCTGGATTCCTGGCAGCATGCAACAACATACTTATCCATGACTGACACAATGTGATTAACTTCTGAAAAATCACTGTATTTTCCTGACAAATAACAATTATGATTTCAGTAGTAGAAACATATTTGTTGAGAACCTCTGACAAATTTTCAATCCTACTAACCTGGAAATTCAGCTATTGTGGTCCACAACAAGTCAACATAGTCTCGTGTGGACAGCTCCTTGCAATCAGCTGCACATTCCAGGTCAGCTACTGTCCGACTCTGTTCTGCGCATGAAGTCTCAAACAGTTCTGTTGTCATCAGAACTACTCCATAGTAACAGAATGCACATACGATCCTACAACAAGCACAGCAGAACTCATGACACAATTAATACACACACTGTGATTTCTTTTCGTGTTACAGTAATGAGAGATTATAACGAAAATTATTCAAACTTTGATGAAGTAACAGATGCCATGGTTCCCCTAACCCCAAATTTCCATTGGTCTTGCCAGGAACAGTGCTCTTTAAAAGTATAACCCTCACAGTGGGCAAGGGAAGACACAAATAACAAAATCTCACCAAATGAACCAAAGCAGAAGAGAAGTCTTCCTAAGTTCAGAATGAAGCAAATGCGTAACACGTCCCCTTGGAGCAAGAGTGGCTGAATCATCCACCACAAGGCGGCCTAAAAGCATGGGCTTTCCATTCTCCTTAGCTACCCTCTGCAACGTTGCCAGAGCCTCGTCAGGTTGTCCTGATGCTACGTGAAATCTAGCACTCTCTGGTAACCACTGTAATCATACAAACGCATAAGACTGTAGTCTCTGAATTAACTCATCTCTCACCCAAGGGGCTATGGGGAGAGGAGTAGCAGCTGCCTGGATAGTGTGTGCATGCACAACTCTGTTCTGTCTGAGAAAGAAATAAACATTACCTATAGTAGCCTATATAGCCTATAGGAATTCATATAAAGGTGATGTGGGCTAATGTTTTTAGTTAGATGGCTAGTTCCTATGTAGTACCAAGGTACTTCGCACAGCAAGAGACAGCAAGTGTGAGGTAAAAAAAATTGATATAAACTGTATTTTCAAAACAGGAGAAACAACATGACCAGGTGACATACACAGTATACTGCGACACGATGCCTAAAAGTTGGAACTATGGAGTCAGAGAAATGTCATGAAAATGTCAACTGTTATGCAGCAGCCTGTTGAAACATGTGGCAATTTACTTGACCAACTGATCAGCCAGAAACCAGGAGTTGTCGAAGGGGGCATCAACACAAGTGAATCTGTCAAAGAGGACTGAATATGGATGAAGCCATTGGGCACAGAATTATTAGGGACAGTCTCAAGGTTAGTAGAGGCTGTTACAAAAGAAATGAGTATGTGAAGATATAACCAAGTAGAAAGACTTGGAAAGTAGTGTAGTTATTTGTACATTGTGAATAATAGCAAAGTACTGTAATTATCTGCAGTTAAGTGTAATAAGTATCCAATAAATTCAATTATCAACTCAAAACCCCTGTGTCTAGTCATTAACCTGTCAAAATATATACACAGACTTTTGAAGTTATTTCTTGCCTCCAAACAGAGCAGAATATAGTAGAATTAAAAGGGTCCTGCCCCTTATAATATAGCAGAAAGTTCTTCAATTTTAAATAAAGGTTACTGTCTCATGAGATGTGCTCTCAAATGGTCTTATCTAGTTTATCCTGTCTTTCCTCCGTTTCTTCATTCTGTCATCCTGGTCTGTGTGACCTCTGTTATAAGTCCCTAAAAATGTTTTGAATTTGGAGCACTCACTTCGGTGACTATCAAAGAGTATAAGTCTTCTGGGTTGTGATGCCACCAACTCCACGTCCTGTAGTCCGCAAGCAAACTATACCGACTGAGCAACTGCTGCTTGTCGGCGAAGTCAGAGCCAACTTTAGCAGATAGAGCGTGTCACATGATCAGCGCAACAGATCCCCATGGCCATTAATCTCAGTTTTCTAGATCAGAGCTGCTATTTCCTTGAAACAACTTCTCAATTATCCTCATGACGCTGAGGGGACCGGGTTCCAGACCCACTACTCCTCAGAAAATCTGGTAGTGTTGGGAATCAAACCTGGAACTCTGGATCTGTAGCCAGGAACTCTGACCACTAGACCACAGAGGCGGTCATTTCTCCAAAACAAATAAAGATTTATACGAAACTACATGGCAGTAAACCCAGAAAATTTTATTCTTCAACCAAATTAATGTTGCGCCTTTCCTCCCATCCACTCTGTCCTTGAAATAGGCTCTTTATGGCAGTTCATTTCTCTCTCTCTCTTCTAATTCTTGTGCGCTTCTAAGTTAATTTCAAATCTAAGTGTTCTGTCAGGAAGCAAAACAGCACTCACTGGTGTGATGAGAGCAAAGGCCAGAAGTGGGATCGTTGAAAGTGCAAGCAGCCATTGCCAGCCTAGCGTAGGCATTACAATCAGGGCCAGCAGCACCTCAAAACATGCCCCCAGTGCCCAGAAACACTGAAACACACAAACATCTCAGGTACTGACTACTGTAATCATTATTCCATACTTACACTCTGGAAGTTTAATATAGAAAACAAGCGTTCAGAAATTAAAATTCTATTAATATGAGAATCAGAAAATGCTTCCAAGCAAGAAAGTTGAAACAACAGAATCCCCTGGAAACTGACACATGTATTAAACGCTCCCCATGACCTTGTTTTGGCTAAATAAACACAATGTTTTGGAAACTGGCTCTTTCTGTCATCAGACAAAAATATTAAACCTATTCAGCCCAAACTGCTAAAGTGAATAGGTTTCACATTTTCACCTGATTATGAAAACTGAGCCAGTTTCCAAAAGAGTAAGCTTCTAAAACCAAAACTAGATGATGGACAATATTTAATACACATGAGTTTAATAACAAACCCTGTTGTAAGCCTTCAAACTCTGAATGTCAGGAAATTCTATAAAAGAGGGGAGAAAATGCACATATAGAATAGGCAACAGTTTCTATTATGTAGCACCAAGAGCCTGTTAGATGAATAATCTGCATAATGTTCCCCCATGAGCATTAAAAATAGGCTCGAGAAGAGGGGACATTACACAAGAAATAAGCACTGAACTAAGGGAAACTTAGCACTGACATTACTGACGTAGAATCACTGAAACTGTACATTAAATGAGCAAAAACATTAAATCAGGGAAGAGTGAATGGATTTCACTGCATTTACTCATAATAAGAAACTAATTATCATCAACACTTACGAGTTCACATCTAAAAATATGGCAAACTCTTGTTATAATGGGCTAATGGTGTCCATTATTACCAATTTCCACTACAACTGAGTGAAGGGGTAGTCACACAAGTGTGCCATAGAATACACAGGCAATACATGGCAGAAACATACATCTACTCAATGTGATCAGTTTCAAACTACAAAACCTTCTCAACACCTCAGTATCTCCAAAAATTCAAAATCGTACACAGCCATATTTTGTCCATTATATCCGGGTCTGTCATAATGACAATTTACCGCAATTCTATCATAAAACTTTATGGTACAGCAAGTTGTGGTACACGCAGCCATTAGCAAGTCCAGAAGCTTTCAGTGTTGTTATGAAATTCTGAAGAAGTATCTACAAAAGTCATAGGAGCATAAACGATTTATTTACAACATTTTAGATGAATAACCAGGAGCATTACTACTGTGATGAACAAATGCTTATGGCGGCTTGCTGACAGGTGATTGAAGCTGATAAGTTTGATCACACTGTATGTACACCTCCCTGCTGTTTTCTCCTCACCCCTCAAGATCCCAAGTACTGATGGAAAGAAATACTATGGTCCTGCCACAATTCAAGATCCCTAGTCCCACTTCCGATTTTGGTGGAAGAACAGTAGCCTGTTATCACATTTTCATTCCAATTCCAAACATCAAAGCGTGGAGTCATACGTCTGCAATGATGACAGTAAATAACATTGTGCCCAGTGGTAAAAAGCAGACTCATCTAGCTGCCTCTTGTTCACTGCTTGCTTAGCACATCTATGTCCCTGAAGATGGAGGCAGAAAACTTCTACTGCACTATATGGCATCGCACCCCAGAAGATAGTACACTTCATACTAAATACTGTGAGAACATCAAATCGAGTTTCCCTTTTACTGCTTAAAAATATTATTTTCAACTTTGGACACTACCAAGTTTTATTAAAACCACTGTTTTGGAAACTGGATCTATTTATATTTTCAGGCAAACAGGATACAAAGGAAGGCATATTCCATTGGACACCTCGGTTAAGTCACTCTTAAACCAAAGATAACATCATCAGAAGTCAATACAAAATATTTACAGTGAAGATCATCTGTGTGCGATTCATTTCAAAATGCAGAATTAAACTAAAAGCTAAAGAATCATGCCTTAACATTAAAATCAGCCTATAAACCAAGATACATTCATGTTCAGATTAAGTGATCTTAAGAACTAAGAAACTGGGAAATAGAATGTAGTATGTTAGTTGATCTGTACAAAGATTGCTGTTAAATAGTCCTTTCCCAGAAGCCATGAACCTGAAAGAGTAATAATGCAAAAGATGCAAAGTTTCATTTTAGCAACTGGGAACACTCACATCCAACAGGACAACACACTTTGCTCTCTGCTTCGTTGGCAGGAACTCCGCATACAGAGTCACACTGAAACATAATAAATTATCCAGCCCTCTGACAACCTGAGCATAATACATACTGAAAAGTGATTACAGCAATATATGTCAAAGAGGCTCTAAGAGGCCAAATTACAATGATGATATCAGGAAGAACATACTCCATATTATAGTTTCTAAAAGAATTCACTTACGACTGAGGTACGCATCCTATGGCGAATCCCACAAGCCCACGAAGAAACAGGATCCACAGGAAATTCGGTGCCAATGAACTCAAGAGGCCGTAACAGAATAAAAGCACAGCACACAAAGTCAGTGCCTGAAAAATTTGAAGATGGGAAGAGATTATGTTATTTATATCTTCAATAGATACAACATAACAAAAACTGAGCTGTGGATAGTACTTCAACTAACCTGTTTTCTTCCATATCGATCACTCAAGTTTCCCCAGAATGTAGAACTAAGCATCATACCTAGAAATACAATCTGAAACAGGAAGGAAATCACACTTTCAGTGAACCAGTAGAGTAGATACAGTGTCAAAACACTGCCTCTTCTTCTGCTTCTAGAATCGTTTCAGCTCTATACAGGCCACTGAAATTAAATAAAATTTCTGGTAAGTATGCAAGGAGAAATAAGAATAGATAAAATGAAAATTGAATTTTTTAAAAGTTGGAATTCAGAACTTGTTAATTGGGACAGGGGAGAAATTATTATAATGGTTTTGCCATGGAAAATAATTTACAATGATACCAGAAAGGGCTTTAGAATTAAACTTTAAAAGAAAGAAACCTATGGAATGACCCAGAACAAGAAAGTTTAGCCAGGTACTGAAGACATTTAGATGAGAGAAAAGAACTGCCAAGCAATCAGAAACAAAAGACTGTGGAACAAAAGAAGGGACCTGGAGACTTTTCATCCATCAAACCACATAAAATGGAAAACAATGCTAGCAGAACATGGGTCCATGGATGAAACATATCCAATATCTCTTACTTTCTGACAATTTCCTTTCTTCTTCTGTATTTCAGCATCCTGTTACAAATATTTAACGAAATGTCTATGTATTCACAGTCAGTCTATAAGGCAACAGTTGTTTTATTCACCATTTAACACTCAACACGACATGTTTCGGCCATAGATGGCCATCTTAAGGTGTTTCAATATGTCCAGCTGTTACACTGTTCTGAAGTGCACTAAATCGCGCGTTGCAGTCCACTTAAAATAACATAAATAATTGAATGTATAAGGGGTGGGCCTTCTTAGCCCTTGCACCACAACAACAGTGATCTATTGTGCCTAACATAAATAATTACTTAAAATCCATTAAAATCTTCTATTAAATTTTTTTGTAAAATCCTATTCCACCTCATAAGGGGTGTCGTCCACTAGTTTATAGAGATATGTGTTTATTCCAGAAAGTAAGTTTCAGCAGCCTGTTTCCCTGTTCATTAGCCCATTGTTTTGCTACGTCTGTAATCTGTAATATGTCTCTTGCTTGTGTGTTGTTCCCTCTAGCAGCGCGTGGAGCTGTTTTCACTTCTTTCTTTCTTTCTTTTTTTATTTTTTATTTCTGGCCAGATCTCTCTCCTTTATGATTCCAGCATCCACACTGTGGAAGGCAATAATGTCAAGTAAGGGCCTGCTTGCTGTGGTGAGGCACAGTACCACCACAGAAGCTGAGAAGGACCAACAAATGAACAGTGGATATTAATAATGTTTTCATACCACAAAACCCTTGGAAAGACTGACGGATTTATAAGACGCCACAATAAACGCTACCATGCTGAAAGTACACAATGCTGCAATAGTTAACACTTTTAAAAATATGGTATTTTGATTACACCCAGTGTTATTAACTCCACATGAACTTCAATGAAGATCACCACTTGATGTAACTTGATCAACCTGCAAATTTGCATTTGCTTTCTGAAACTATACTACAAAACCCAGATTTACTGTGCTGGGTTGACAGTAAATTCAAGCATGCTAAATATATTTTTATTTTACTTATTCATAATTTATTTAATGATACTGTTAAACAGATCAAACTATATACCATTAAAGGAAAGGACATGAAATTTGCTAATTTCAACTGAATTGACTTGAGGTGGGGACAACCTACAGATGCACCTATATCACATTATAAGGACCTCTGTGTGCCTCCAAAGCACCCTGACATTAGTGCTACAGCTAAAAACATCCTGCATGAGGATTTCCTAGTACTTACAGTTTCTAAAAATGTACTGAATTATTTAAAGATACCAACAGGATGTCAGAATGTTAGGGTGATGGGTGCATAACAAATTAGAAAGAAAGAATTTGCTCAGAAAGACTGGTGATAAACATGGCAAAATTCAGTCAGGGTAATCGGAATTCCAGCTGAAACGGAAACCATGCACGTCCTGAATTCAAGTCACAGGTATCACCACTTAAGTCAACTTAGTAAGCAGAATGTGGAAGCAACAGTCTTTCCTTAACTTGATCTGCTACCCTGACATGTGCCTGGAGGGAATAATGGAAACTACAAGAAAACCCAGTCTGGACAGCTTGTAGTTGGCCTGGTATCGGAAATTAGGAATGTCCCAAGATGAAATATGAGTGCCACCCACTCGATTGTGACATCTGGCATGCTGATTATTGTGTACATACTATTACATGAGGAAAGGTGTTTCATTCCACAAGTTTTTCCAAACCTCTTCATGTCTTATATTATTAACGGAGTCCAAGACACTTACCGTGGTGGTAAGCGCCTGCTGGTATCGTGTGATATGCCAGTCACAGTGCAATGCAGGTGAAAGGATACTGAGTATTGTCATTTCCATACTGTCTGCCATCCAGCAGAGGCCAGTGAACAGAGATAGTTTCACTTGAAACCTCCCGAAGCCAAATGCATTCACTGCCTGTGTCACAGTAAATGTATCTGCAGGAAGAAAATATGTATTACACTTAACACAAACAGTGCACGCCCAGTACTGCTGTCTACGTTACGAATTGCTCTAACACTAACAAATATTTTTAAGGATTGCATCCTGTTGTGTATATACAATGAACATATATATAATTTTTACCATCTACATAACAATATTTTATTATTTATTTATATAGGACACACTACATGTTTCGACCTCAATGGGTCATCTTCAGGTGCTGCAAGTTTCTCACATACTGTTACTGAACTGAAATGCTAACATTCCCATTTTTATAAATGGTTTGTATAAATTAGTTTTATGTTCATTCACAATATTTACAAAACTTAGATTAACAGAAACTAATCTGTACGAACCATTTAGAAAAATGGGAATATTAGCATTTCAGTTCAGTAACAGTATGTGAGAAACTTGCAGCACCTGAAGATGACCCATTTGAGGTCAAAACATGTAGTGCAAGCTATATAAATAAATAATAAAGTATTGATGGTAAAAATTACATACATATTCATAATAGTAACAGATATTTATAGTTAAATATACTGAAATGAATCTCATGGGTAAATTCCTACCCATCTCTCCCTTGAATTACTATGCGTACCCCTCCAGCATATGTGATCCGGGATAGTGCAGGCGGTATAGTAACTCACTACAGGCTGGACAACCAAGGGATCAGAGTTCAAGCCCTCGTGAAAAGAAAGGAATTTTCATTTCTGTATGTCATTCAGACTATCTCTGGGGCCCATTCAACCTCCTATCCAATGGGTACTAGGAATAAAGCGGCTGAGGCGTGAAGCTGACCACTCACCTTGCTGGGGTCAAGAAAATGTGGGTCTATATATCCATTCCCCCATACATCTTCATGGTATGCTTAATTAGTTAAGCACAGGGACAACTTTATCTTCTTTTTTACCTCTTCAGTATATTGCTCTCCATTCCTTCAAGCCATCGAGTCTTACTGTTCACCATGTGATAACTGTCGCTAGGGACAAGGGTTTTGATCTGGCTGACATTGGCCAGAACATGATGGAGGAGAATACAACAGCAGCCACAAAGAGAGAAGCCTTGAGCACTGCCATCCCTACAGGTTGGCTCACATGCTAGCACATGACTTACATTTTGGAGGTACCTGATTTGAGTCTTGACTTGACTACAGTATTTTGATTTCATTGTGCATTCACTCTCACACACTCTCTCTCTCTTCTCCCGCTGCTCCCACTTTGCAGCATAGGGCATCCCTGAAATGCTTTGTTTCACATCAGTCGCTTAATCCTAAGACCATTGGTAGGACTTCTTGGAAAAGGAATCAGCCTGTCACAAAGTGCATCCGGATCAGCTTGAATTTGAAATAGAAGAATAAGAACAATAACAAAGCCACTACCTACACAAACATAGAATGAATACAGACAGACACCCATGCCTTGAATTGGATTCAAATCCACAATCCTAGTGCTTGAGCAAATGAAGACAGGGCTCCATTCACTGCTCATGTCAAAGTGAAGCATACAAAGGAAAGAGAGATACATTATACAGTATAAAGGCTAAAGAAAAAAACTGTTCCTGTGCTTAACTAATTAAGCAGTATCCATGAAGGTGTTTGGAAGGGTGGCTGTAGAGATCCACATATTCTTTACCTCAAAACTACTTGGAGGTGAGCGGTTAGCTTCATGACCCATCTGCTTTACACCTGGCAAAAAGGCCCCCAGTACCCATTGGATAGGAGGCTGGGTAGGCCAAAGAGCTGGTCTGGATATTGTGCAGAGAAAAATCTTGCCTGTACTAGGAAATCAAATTCTGACAACTTTGCGGTCCAGCCTGTAGCCGGTCGCTATACCAGCTGCACTATCCTGGATTCACAATATACCAAGAACAAAATTCTGAATGTTGAATGCTTGGTTCGGTGGTTATCAATTAAATTATCATTCAATTTTACAAACCATCAGGTACAACAGATACAGATGTCATTTCTATTTCATCCGCTTCTGCTATGTGATTGTCATAATGATCCTCCAGTTGTCTTGGGACACTTGTTGCACTTGGCAGAGACTCCGTAACATGCTCATCTAGGTCCTCATACTCAGCTGCTGACCGCCCTCGTGTTGTCCGACGGACCGCAGACAGAATCTGAGACATCTTTACGAATTTCTACAAGCCAAAATAATGCAGTACTGATTTATTAACTAACTATATAAGGCAGAGACTTTCTTTAAAATACAGTATGGCAGTCACTCAGCTAGCCAGCAACTACCTCGCTTTTACACGACATAAAAATTCATTACCATGTCTACAGGAGCTCACCATTGTACCTTAACCTGAACCAGGTTGATCTGTCTTTGTGATACAAATTAATATCATACTACCAAGTAGCCTTTTCCTTTCAGGCTTTTAAAATAAAATTTTCCTTGCATTTCCCATCTCTCTCATGTTGTATATTGAATGCCCCATCTACTTCATCCACCTCAATCTAATTACCATAACAATACTATGGTGGTGAATACAACTTGTCACCTTCCCATTATGAAGTTTTCTCCAGTCTTCTATTACTGCCACCATTTCAGATCCAAATATTCTCCTCAGCAACACTCTGAATCTGTTTTATTTCCTTACAATTAAAAGCAGCACTTAACATTATGGTTCTGAATACTTTAATCGTTAAATTTCTATTTAGGTTATAGGGGGACAAAAGATTCTGATATGAAGTTTCCAGTATTCCCCAGTCTAGTCTACTCGTCAGCTTCTCTGTGGATGTAATTTTGTTTTGCTTCCAAATAAAAATTCACATGGCTACCATGCTGGTATTCCTCAAACGTTAAAAAACTTGTTTCAAAATTGACTTTGTAGTGTGACCTCAGGATGATCCTTACAATGACTTTCACGAAATTCGATTAACTAATTCAAAAGCCATGTGGTCAACAATGGTAATATCCATAATTAATCAGGAAGAAAGTGGTCATACCTTATTTTACGTACTGACATACCAGGAAAACGGCAAAACCTCAGCCAGATAACCGACCTCAAGGCTGAGAATCTAACCTATGAATTTACGAGGCGAAATGACGAAACATTTAGATGTGGTCTGCGACTGTATTGACAGTCGCATCAGACAACTGTAAATTTAACTCCTTCGAAGGTTATGCCACATCAAACATATTACACGCTGTTGTTCACACAAGATGTCCAATCCACGTCAGAACTGTCAAATCGGAGTCACTGATGCGTACGTTCAATACTTAGCAATGTATTATAATTCATACACTTTTATCATGCAATTAGGGGTGCGAAACTTCCAGCTTCTGCTAATATGGCTGTGAACGCACAACACTGACACATATAAGTCCTTCGTATATCTTTCACACTGCTACAGCAGGAACGTCCAAACAATTCTGACTTCCGAATGGCTCTGCACCAGTTTCCCCGTTACAACCGTTATAACGGTTATAACCTTTCGCTCCTTGCCGTGTGAAGTTAGTGTTGAGCACAATGGATGAAAACTATCGAACAATTCGATTGTTGCAAAGTACCGCGTAATTTTAAATCTTAAAATCAATAGCCTGAATTTGTTCGCTTTCACGAGAAACTCGATTAATTTAATTTTTGAATATGCCACATTTACTATATTTATTCTGAAGGTAAAACAAATGTAATAAAATTCTTAACAAAAACAAATCACAATATCCATTAAACGTTGGATATAATGATACATATATGGAGGCAGTAAATATAAAATTCCTTGGCTTACAAACTGATAATCATTTACACTAGTAAACACATCGCATATTTGGTTCTAAAGCTAAGTGGAGCATGTTATACACTTAGATTTATCTGGCATATCAGCAACACTGACATTCTCAGATCAATTTATTTTGTTTACTCTCACACTTTAATGAAGTATGGAATAAGTTTCTGAGCCTTCTTCTGTAGGTTAAACAGTTCTACTTATGAGCCAAATTGTTGGGCATGCGTAACGGGTGGGTGAGGGATGTGAACACAAAGTTTGGGAGAAAGTGGAAGTGCGAATATGGGCTAATACAGCAATTTCCTTTTCAACACAACTGAATGGATTCATTGGTTATGACAAATTAAAAACTGTGAGGTTTTAGGTTTTCACAGCTGTAAGGATTCATACTGTGATATTCTGGATTCTGACATCATATAGTTTTACCAACAATATTTTCTCCATCCACAGTCTGAGGGGATGTCATACTTTGGTAATAAGGGAATCAATTGGCAGAGAGTTCTCTATTTACAGATATTTCCATAGGCTACTTTCTTTTTCTGAACAAATGTATGCCAGTACTCTCATGGTATTCATACTGACTTAGAGGGGACAAATATTAACAGTCACCCCAAGCAGTAAGACCACTATCATATCTAGTGCACCCAAAATCTTGTTAGAACCCTTCAGAGCCCTAGTTGCAATACTGCAGCCAAAACCATCCTGACTGAGGCCCTTATGGTATCTATGTCTTACCATGATTTATATCTGAATATCTCTATCCTGTGCCTAGTCAAAGCTTGGCAATGACAAAAGTACATCATACGAGAATTCCTCCTCTTGCCCATACGTCCTGCATATGGTGCTTTCTGAGACGTTCATAATACATAGGTGTTGTGTCAGTGGTACAGTGGCCAGTCAATAACCATGTTAGCTATGTATACTGTTTCCTATCCAAGGCCAACACATCAACAGACACTTCATCTGCAGGCCTTTCAATGTAGACCTTTGACTGCCTCTATACTTGGTGAAGCACCCCAATGTTGGGAGTGTCTCTCCTTAATCTCAACCCAACACAAACATGGCAAGACTAAAATTGCTGGTTTATGAACAATGAATTGACGACTTGATCCCCCTCCAGCCAAGGCAACTGCCTCCTCATTATCTGAATCCCACTGTGACCAGGGAACAAAGGGAGTATAAGATTTTTTTTGACAAAACAGTGCACACACTGCCTGATCACATTCCTGGGCAAGCTTTGCTGTCATTCTTTATCTAATAAGGACCCTCAAAGCTACTTAGCTACATGAGCATGTTTATATGTGCTCACATACACAGACCCTTCCTGTACACCTGTATGCATGCATTAAAATGACAAAAATTTGTGCCTGGAACACTATGGCATGTGCACGTGAGTAGGATAGCCTATTCCCTGGCTTCACCCCACATACTCCTGCCCCAAACCTAAGAGTTACCCTGGACTCACCTATATATAATATTAGTCCTCTGGACTGAAGGGTCGCTGGCCAAGCTGATATCCAAAATTTGTCCAGCAGGTTCTTCACTTTGAAGGGCACCTGAAAAGCTATCACTGGTATCACTTTATCCTGACTCACTATGGGGAAAGGGATCTGATTCCATTAGCCAGTTGAACATCTGGACATGACCTATCACAAATTTATATCCTTGATCCTGTAAGCCAAGATCCTGGCCTCAGGCTCACGTGGAAGCTGGGATCATGGGTTCGAATCTCACACAAGGCACGGATGTCTGGTGTGTGTATGCATTTATTCTGTGTTTGTGTTGTCCTGCGTTTAGGTAGATACCTTGCAAAGAGCTGATCACCTGTCCAAGGAGTCTTACCATCTGTAAAATGAACATGAAACTGAGAAATCAGCCCTATGCTCCAAAATGGGAGTGAGAGGAGAGAAAAAAAATAGGTACCCAATTCAAGGATTATCAGCTTACCTAGTGAAGCAGTAGGCAAGCCTATTTGTTTGGATCATTACAGTTGATAAGTAGGAACACAAAGAAATCTATAAGCAGACAGTTTCTGTACATTAAAATATATTACAATACAGAAATACATACATACATTATAATTACAAGTAAACTCCTGCACCTGAAAGTATCATACACAGGCATGACATGTATTTTGTATTGATCCCAGTTTTGGTCCTCTATCTTGCTTTCAATCATTAACATTTCAATGGAGTTGAAATAATATTATTGTAGGTTGCCCATGGTTTTGCACTCTCCTATATGACTGTAGGCAAACCTGTATTGTAAGTTGTAAACAAAAGCAATTTGTAGAGAAATATATACCTGTATGTATGCAATTTTAGGCTTTCCCAGTAGTTATTGTTAATGTTTAGTCTGTACCTAATCCTTCCAGCTACACTGTGGCCCTGGGGTCAACTCAGCCTCTAACAGAAATGAGCACCAGAAAGATTCCTGGGGAGGCTGACAACCTCACCACCATCTGTGAGCCAATTGTCTGGATGATGTGGGAGCCTCAACCTCCCTCACCCCTATGGGCCTTCAAATCCTTTTATAGGGATAGTTTTACTTTGGGGGCACACAGTAGCATAGCTAGTTGAGGTACTATGTTACAAGCTTGAAGGTCGTGGGTTGAATTCCCAATGTAATTGGATTTTATCAAATTACCTAATCCTTCCAGCTGCACTAGTCCCTGGGGTCAACTCAGCCTTTAACAGAAATGAGTACCAGGAATCTTCTTGGGGGTAAAGGGTGGCCAGCACATAAGGCTGACAACCTCACCACCATCTGAGAGCAGGCTGTCTAGAAAATGTGGAAGCCTTGACTTCTCACAACCCTATGGGTCGCCATGGCCTGTCACAAGGATAGTTTTACCTTTTATGTTTTCTTGGGTCCTTGCAGTTTGTGGATGTGGGAAATGTTGCTGACATTTCAGAGATACCTGTTCACTCCATCTTCAGGATAGTTCTGAGAGCAGTAGACCCTGAAGATCAAGATAGGGTCTCTGAAGCAGTAGCAGTACTACCCACATTCTATCAGTGCAAAGATTCAAATGCTGAATCAACATCAACATCAACATGTATATTTAGCAGCAAATTTCAAAGTAGTGTCCTATAACAGCAGAACATTTACATACTGGGTCGGACAAAGACAGTGAGGTTTAAAAAATGTAGTAAAAATGAATGACTCTGCTGATTTAAATGAAACTCGTATAGATTTTATAGAATGCACCTAAATACATGAACAGAAAGATTTATTCAGTTTAGTTGATTCCTTATTTTCCATTTTGAATGTTAAAAACAGGAATTTTATTTATAACTCAACCACATGTTTTTTTTGTCAGAAATTCTTACTGTGTATATTATCATCTATTGACAAAAATACCTCAAATAACATCTTCAAAACCATGGACAACCCTAATACAGAAGGCTCGGCTAGATGTTCATGGTAAAATTGACTCTGAAAAATGTTCTGTGACGTACAGATATATATATATATAGGAACACATACAAATGAAATTTTATGCTTGAATGAATATTTGTTAAGTACTGTACCTTACTCTTATTTCTTTTAAAACATTTCCATTGTGCCATGCAGGGTAATTATTGAACATATTTCTTTCTTTGAATTCTGCATTCTCTTCACACCAACATATGTTGCATATTATTCACAGTTCATGGTTCTCAATATTTAAAATATACTGAACATTAAAAATGCTTAATAACATTCTTTGAGTAAAAATTTTTAACATTATCTGATTCTGTAAGCTTAAAGGTATTAAAATATGCATTATTCTGCCTAGTAATGGGTTCTGTAACTTCTGTGATAAGAAATCTGAAATGCATATTAGATTAGTACTTTGTGAGCTCATACTGTCCTGTTTTTATGAATGACAGGACATAATTCGTTTTCATCGTCCTTTCAATTTTGTAAAAATTGTTTGCATGAGTATTTTCTTTCTACACTTTGAAAGTTCCAAAGAAGAACTTGTATGCATTTCTGCTTCTGAAATAGGAAGTGTTAAATTGAAGATCAAACTTTGGTAAAAATGCTGAATTTAAGGGATGTTTATTTAATGACTCAGTATTTGCTACTTATTCAAAATCAAAAATGTGGAGGGAATGTTTACGAAGATGTGGGAGGAGGAATTATTATAGTCTATTTTAGTTTGTTTTGGAATAACACATGGAGGTAAGAAATGAAAAGAAATAAATAATGACACTCAATGATTGTGTATAAACATGTTTTGATGATGAAAGACAAGAACCTATTGTTGGAAACTGCTTGAATGGTGACAATGAATTCATGTTTCTCTGCAAATCTACAATGAACACTTTTTAGAGCACAAACATCTAAAGCCTATTACAATGCATTATGATGAGCAGGCAAAACATCGAACTGCAAATGCTTGTTCCTGAAATCTGAGTCAGTCTTGTGGTTTGAGAAGAGCATCAAAGCAGGTGACCATGAGAATGCGCGACTTGCAAGCTTCAACACGTTTCCTTAGGATCTGTGTCTCTCTCTCCAGTGCCTCCAGGAAGCTTGGGTCCCTGCAGTCCATGCTTGCCTCCACATGGACTGCAACAGTTTTCAACACCAATGTGTCACTAACATCATTTGACAAGAAAAACAAAAAATTCAAGGCTGGACCCACAAAATCTACTTTCCTGCTGCATCATTACTAGTCCAAGAAATCTATTATTACTCTATTACTATTGCTATTTTATTTTATTTCTGTGGAAAACTTGCTATTTAATTGCAGAGTCTATATATGTACATCCAGTTTGTTGAACATAACCTCACAGTTTCACACTACTGCTCACTCACTCATAGAGCTGAGCCCTTCTTGAGAAGCCACCAACTGTGCATCTACTCAAGCACTTCCCAGCATTTTATGGAACCTGTAGGTTCATTACTGTGCTCACAAGAGCCCTCCACTTCTCCCAGTCCTGATTCAGATCAATCCAATCCATAACATCCCATCATATCTCTCTAAGATCCATTTACATTATCAACTCACCTACATCTTCGTCTTCTCACACCACTGCTATGTTTGTAATTGTTGACTCACAAAAAATCTATATTGACAATATGTATCTTTATGACCTATTTCTATACCAAATATTAAATGCCTAAATCCAACTAAATATAAAGAAAACTGTTGCTCAGCCACCATATTGTTATTTTACATTACCAGAAAGTTACCTAATCAATTATAGCATATCTTCCTAATATCTGTTAAGATATGCCATTTCAGAAACCTAATTACGTGGTTCTAGTGCTGTTCCCCCCCTCAGAAATCACTGTCTCCAACACACCTTTCAGGCACATAATTTAAACAATGTGTGAAAGGACAAGAAAGAAACTTTTTGAGATTTCAGCCTATGTCAAATTTCTAGGCATTAAGTGGCCTCAAAGGGCCTATTATACAAGCCCTTGACAACAGAGGAGCATGAAACATAGGTGGAATGATCTTGGCAGGGGACCAGAGAAGAACCTGCCCCAGTGCCTCTTTATTCATCCTAATTCCATACAGATGACCCTGAACTGCTTCTGAGCACCCAAGGTGGAAAAACAGCAATTAATTCTATGTAAATTACAGCAGAGCCAAGACCATAATCTAAAAGTACATGTTAATTTGATACATTGTAAGTTTTTACATATTATGCTAACATGAAAAAATGTTCAAGTAACAAATTACATGCATAAAATTAAAAGCATTTGTGGAGGTAGACACTAAACAATAATGCAAAGCAATAGACACATGTCATGAGTGCCAGAGATTTGTGATTTCTCTGACACTGCAATTTGCATTGAAGCGGGACTCACACTAAGATAAATTTCAACCTTTCTAACACATTTCAATTACAAATTGTGTGGAACAAAAATTTATAGCATGTTACACATTATAATAAAAAAAAAAAAAGGAAAAAACCTATGGATAAGTTCTTACAATTTGGAAGTAAGTGAATTTGAATTCATGCAACCTGGAACCAATTTCTAAACTACACGAGAATTGAGGTGCTTATGGAAGTTACTTAGATAAGTATCGTGTTCTGGGTTATGTGTATTCTGCCTGCTGTTTTCTACTTGTTCAGCTTATTCCTTGATCGTCTGATCCCAAAACACTGCCAAACTTTTCTAGACTACACAGTGTCACTTCCCAGAAGACAACCTTAATTTCCATTACCATAAGAACCTTACGTCTTATCAGAATATGATAAAGATTCACACAAAGAAATTATGAAAGAAAGATAACTCACTTACGTTCGTAGCTCCATCGTGTGGCAGGGAGGAGCAGTCGGGTCTTGGCTGCTGCAAGTTCGTGCTTCAGTTCCTGTTGCTGTGCTCGGAGTTCTCTAATCTGCCGTCCTTGTGCTTCGGTCCAGCGGCGCTCCAGCCTTTCCACATCCTCCCTGCAGTACTGCAGCAAGGGAACTGTACCCAACAAACCAATGACCCTACAGTAGGAGCAAGTTTAATAGAATTTTTACTCACAGCATGAAAACCAAATCAGTTGCCTCCTCTAACAACACAGCACAACAAATTTTCAATTCTTTTTCGGTAACATTCAGTAACATTAAGCTCTTCTTGGCTAAATAAAGTGTGCCCATCACAAAAACTGTAAAATAGAAAATACTTTTTGCTTTCTTCTATTATTTTGTATGCAAGACATAAACACACATACCACTCATGCAAATTGAAATAATCATGTTACTTAAATGGCAGTAAACCTTTATTCATTAATAAGTGATCATTTTCTCATATTGATTGTCCATATTGGAAAACAGTGTATCTGAACTAATTTAAAAAGTAATTTTCTTTCCTGTCATCATAATCTTGTTGACAAGAGTCATTCAAAGATATACCACATCTTAGCTCTCTACAACATATAGCACAGGACTTAAACAAAAGTAAGGACATTAATTTTTGTTCACAAAAATCTTAATTCAGATCTGACCAATGACTGAACCTATGACTTATAAACAAGAGTCTAATGTCTTACCCGATCCCTAGTAACTACATAATCATATCGATTTTCAGTAGCTGTTAACAACTTAATAACAATGTACCTGTTACAAAATAATACTCTAAGAGTCCCTTACACAATATGAATAGAATGCCAACTAAGCAAAGGTATCTGGTAGTAGTTAAGACAGTACTTCTATAGAACATAACCTTCTGTATATTCAGGGATTTTTAAGCCAGAATGTGCTGGAACACATATCAGCAACAAGTGATATGTCCATCCACTGCATGCTTTAAACTTGAGGCTAAAATGAAACACGATTTTGGAAAAATAACACTATTCACGATGCACTTGGGCCAATCTAGTACACTAATATTCTGTTGGACACTGCCTAATATTTCAGGTATATTTGGAGTGGGCTCTACTGCTAACACTTCTGACTTGTATTTTGGAGGTGCACAGTTCAAATCTTAGTCAGGACCCTGGACTATTATAACAGACATTTTCTGCTGTTTTCCTCAGTCCATGTGGGTAGCTGTCAGGATAGTACCTCAATAAGGCCATGGCTATTTCCTTCCATATACTTCCCAATCCTTTATTCACCAATCATCTTATTATATGCCATACCGTCCGAGATGTTGACATCATTAATGAAACTACAAATTAAATTAGATATATAACGTTTTAGGACTATGGCTTTACTCCAGTTTTCAGGTGATTGGTCTTCATCAAACTGACAGGCATGTTATTATTCGTGAGAATAACAGAACAGGTAAACAGCTAGCCAAGTGTATCTGACTTGTATTTTGGAGGTGCACAGTTCAAATCTTAGTCAGGACACTGGACTATTATAACAGACATTTTCTGCTGTTTTCCTCAGTCCACGTGGGTAACTGTCAGGATAGTACCTCAATAAGGCCATGGCTATATTCGTGAGAATAACAGAACAGGTAAACAGCCAGTCAAGTGTAGATACGAACTCAATATGACTCCCTCCATCATGAGATATGAACTAGCAAAGTATATAACACTAGGCAGAGTTACAACAACCAGCCAAATGGCATACTGGTTAATATACTTGCCTAGTGTTCAGTCCCCACTGTGGCCACTAATATCAAAATAAAAAAATAACATGTATGTTGGCACAATGACAACTAGTCATCTAATGAATGGAGTAGAGATAATTCCACAAACATAATACATATCTTGTAAGTTCTATCTCTGGGATATATCTCAGAATATAGAATTCTTCATAACCGCTGCTGTGAGAACCTTGGATCCTACATAACATAGCATGTAGACCTGATGCTAGGCAACGGCCCATACACACACAGCAGAGGAATGCGTCATCTAAGCAGTGATGTCGTGCAACAATACTGATCTTCTCCATCCTTCTCCAACACCACATTTTGAAACTTTCCAGATGTTTCTGATCTACCGCCCTAAGTGTCCATGTTTCAGCCCCAAATAAAGCAATGCTCCAAATGTAGCATTTCACTAGTTTCTGACAATAATATATCTTATTTATTTACAGTTCATTTAATGATGCTGTCAGTAGCTTTGACAGTANTGTATGTTGGCACAATGACAACTAGTCATCCAATGAATGGAGTAGAGACAATTCCACAAACATAATACATATCTTGTAAGTTCTATCTCTGGGATATATCTCAGAATATAGAATTCTTCATAACCGCTGCTGTGAGAACCTCGGATCCTACATAACATAGCATGTAGAACTGATGCTAGGCAACGGCACATACACACACAGCAGAGGAATGCGTCATGTAAGCAGTGATGTCGTGCAACAATACAAGAAATGTTACAAGTGGCATTCTCTGTGGGTCCACTCAAAGGCTATATGACTCAACAAACCAAGTTCAGTTCAGTTAGTGAGTGCAGTGCAGCTGAGTACAGTGGAGTACAGTGAGCTGATTGCTGGACTCTCAGTTAGAAGACTGCTGCAGTTCAGTCATTGGTGAACCAGTGCTGTTAGAAGCTGGTAGCTGAGGCCGGGGATAGTTCGGAAACCCAGAGTAAGGGGAACATCCGCCATTGGAAGCCATTACCAGGAAATGACTGGTGAAGACACAGCAGACTGAAAGACTTAGTGCATGCTGTAGTGAATTGCAGAGCATGTGAATTAGCAATAGTGTTATAGTTACTTGCAGTTACAATTAGAAAGTGTTNCAGATGTTTCTGATCTACCGCCCTAAGTGTCCATGTTTCAGCCCCAAATAAAGCAATGCTCCAAATGTAGCATTTCACTAGTTTCTGACAATAATATATCTTATTTATTTACAGTTCATTTAATGATGCTGTCAGTAGCTTTGACAGTACAAAATCAAATGTAATAATAATTAGTGAGTAATGAATTCAAATGGATGTGGAAGGAAGCAGTCATGGCACAATTTCAAGATACTATCCCAACACTTGCCTAAAGAGACTGAAGGAACCTATGAGAAACCTTAATATCTGGATTGAGATCTGAAGATCCTGAATACGATGCAGGAATACCACTGACTTTACTCTGATGTATGGTGTCATGTATATCAAATATACCTCAAGAGAACAAACAATGGTCAAAATGATATAATATTAGTAGAGTGTTTCTTAATATCTCTCAAAATATTTGAAACTACTGATCAGTGGGAAACGATACCAAAACCAAGCTGTAGTCCGCACCTTTTTTTGAACCCCCTGGGTCATGAGGTTCCCCTGGATCAAAATCCTGGCTGGAACCAAAACTGGAGCACTCACTATCTCTCACAATGCTCTCATAACCTGAGCTTTCACATTGGACTGCTGAAACAATGGCTGCTGGTCTCTTGTTAGTCAGGACTCCAGGCAAACATGATACCAGCTGTGATGTCTTTGTGGGACGAGGACTGGAAACAGAATTGAACATGTCACTACATTAATATGGTTTCTAAACTTTGAATAATATAATAAAATACAAACTGCTTTAAATGTACTATTTATATATGGAAATATTGACAAAAATAAATAAGTGAACTTGAAAATAATAAAAATTAACCAAATGATACCTATTTCTGTGTTGCTGCAGTCTTCTTTGATCTGATATTTAATTCCTTATTTTGGAAGTTTGTTTTTTAATTTGGATGAAATGAAATTATTTTCTGAGGAGCAATATTTTCTTTTAATACCTTAATTATCTGTCTCGAACATATTTTACATCTGCAACTATAATTATTTAACTTAACAATACATTACATCTGCAATTTTAATTATAAATCTTAAGCATATTTTACATCTGCAGTTACAATTTTAATTATATTAAGCATGCTTCACACATGCAATTATAATTATTTACTTTAAGCATACCTCACATCTGAAACTATAATTATAGTAGTTCCATCCGGAATCAAAACATTTAGATGATTAACAACAGTTTAAGCATTTTGTGCTTAAATGTGAAGAACAAATTAGGAAATGTACTCATATACAGCAAATAAGTCACACACAGCTCGCTGCCTGCTTCTGCTTGTTTCTTGCTCAGTTTCCCATTTGACCTTGAGGATGAGATGGTGTGTTACTCCTAAAGAGGCTCTCTCCAAACTACACAGTGTCACAACCCACTGGCGTAAGAACATGGGGGAGGGAGAACCTGATCTTGAGATTTTTATGGATTTACATGTTTTCATACATCAGTGATTATGAAAAGGTTATGTCTGGTGTGGCGTCTGTCTATCTGTCTGCATACCTCTATGTGTGTGTGTGTGTGTGTGTGTGTGTGTGTGTGTGTGTGTGATATATTTATCGATATGTGCCCCACTAGCACCTGAATGGTTGAGTGGACTTTATTCATATTTGATTTTCAAGAGTTTATCCATTTTAGGTCAGTATGTGATGAATCTGAACATTGCAGCTCAAAATATAGGGGCCCTCAAAGGGGCCACAAAACATAAAATGGTGATTTTCTAGAAAAGTGCTCTAATAATTATGATAAAATATCAATGATTTGTGGAAACCTTATTGCTAAATATTATTGCATAGGTGGTAAATGGATCTTCTCTTGCATCTTTATATTGCACTGGCTTTTCAATTCTGATGGTTTGTTTTTACTTCAGTGAAACAAGTTATACTTATCAGGTTATGCAGAAAAATGTAAATACACAAGTGAATATTAGTGAATTCTCTGCTGAAGATGAAGGAAACATTAGATTATTTTTATTACTGCCAAGACACAGCCCCCCAGACAACAATCCCTGTCATCTATTTCAAATCTGTTTTGTTTTTAATCGTTTTAAACTCTGCTTTGATAATATGCATAATGCGAGGAAACTACAGAAAAGTTTTCATTTCTTCATATTATCCTTTGGAACATGAAGAACTGCTACCAGAAGGAAAGAACTTTTTACGATCTTGAGTTTAAACTTAAACCTATAATCTATTACAATTGTTAGAGTATGGGCTTTTCATACTAAATTCACATAAATATCTTGTGTTATTTGGATTCATTTTAGTGCTAGGTTGTCATGCCAAATGTTTATAATCTGTTTAGACACATAACAATCATTAAAGATCTTCCATAATTAGCAAACAGACAACCACCACAACAGCATCTCATAAAGATTATAAGACCTGTAGATTCTGGCTCACTCATAACAGAAAGTTGTAAAAATAGTCCATTTTCACCATAATATGTCTATATGTAACAACTACAAAACTGCTTAACAGATCTTCATGAAATTTGATTCAAATTTTGGTTAAAATCAGATGACAAGACACTTTAAAAGATGACTGAGATGTTTATTTGCACATCTTGAGCATAGCTTGCTAAATCTTTAAAGGAGTTAAGGATATTTTGAACAAGCACAGTAGAGAAATGTGAAACACACATTTTATGACCCATATACTTTTTTCCCCTACATGTGAAGGTGTTTCTGATAATTAAATAGAAGGAACAAAACATGCCAGAAAGGTTATGCTGTGTGTACATTTCCTAACTTCTTAAATCTACCACCAACTAAATTTTCCATACACATAATACCTCAAATATGTATGTACATTCCTCTAAAACAGTGTTAACAGTAGCTTAAGCATCTTATATGCTAGAGAAAAAAATAACAAAAAGAAATGTAAAAACAAAAATTATGTTAATTAGATGACTTCATATATATTTCCCACTGACAATAATTGCCCTAAAGCAAATTCAGAATCAATATAACTCCAGAAGAAGTTGTAATATGGATAAATATACACATAACATATAATATATGCTTTTAATTTAAATAGAATTCACATTAAATTTACACAGATTGAAGAACTAGAAAATACTGTCACATAAAAATGATTGCCTTTAATTAAAAAATGCAGACATAGTTGGCTTGCAATCATTCACTGGTAAGTGTTGGTCCAAATAGTTAATAGTATGGACAAACATAAACAAGGTGCATAGAAATTATATTATATAGCCACTCATTCTTAAAGGGATGAAGTAAAAGATTAGTCACTGGGAAAAAGGGTGAAGGATTCTGGAAAAACAAAAGAGTACAATAGACAAAATAAGATACACAATATTTTTATTAATATTTCTTTAAAATGATTACATTTATATCTGTTTTAATATCGCAATAATGTGCATTTATTACAATTTAATGTGTACTTACTATAATTTAACAGTATATAACAGAACAGAAGAAAGAAGAATAAGAATGCATATCATTCAAAAGGAGCTTATTTGGATAAGTTTGTTTTTATCACTACATAATGTCACATTTAAATTATGTTCTGAAGCCATGCACCAAATACATATGTCAACACAAAGGTTGAATGAAACTTGTCTCTAACACAGTAACATAAACTTAAGTTTTAAATGGAAAATGTAATTAAAATAACAAATATATGATACAACACAATAATTTTAATGAATTAACTTTTATATGAAATTCAGTATTGGCGTATCACAGTGTGTTTCATAACTAGTACATGTAGGACATGCTATCTACACAATCCCTGTACATAACTGTAGTTAATTATGTATGGTACTTCATACATGCAACGTGTTTCAACTTATCACAAATATGATGTAACTTGATGATGACTGAAGGGTTGAAGCATGCTGCATGAACAGAGCACTGTAACTGTGTAGACAACATAACCTATACATACCACAATGTCTTCTGTTTGTGCAGCATTATCAGAAACTGTGAGAGAAATGGTCCATCAGAAATTAACCTACAGGTATTAATAATAAATAAACAATGTGGTAAAGAAGAGTACTGGATATATCCCAGAAGTCAGTACTCTTCATAACCATTGCTGTGAGAACCTCAAATCCTATAAAAGTGGTAAACTCCCCATTTATAACTGCATACAGGAAATATTCATTATTTGTTTCAGAGGTGAATGATAAAGTTGGTTCAAGCAAAGACACTTATGACCTGTATTCTTGAGGTGCCTGGCTTGAATCTCAGCTGGGACACTGACTACCTTGACTGATGTCATTGTTTTCTTGAGTCCTACCAGTAAATTGCCAGGACAGTACCTCAAATTTGATCAAGAGTGCTTCTTCCCATATCCTTTCCAATCCAGTGTTCACTAATCATCAAACTATCCTACTTACTGACAATATAATTAAATAAATTATAAATAAATATATATTTGATAAATGCTCATTAAATTATACATGATAGTAGTAGTATATATACTATATATAGTATATTATGGATGCATTTCATTGAAAAGCTTAAGGCAATTATGTTTCGTAACAACATTTACTGCCACATTTAAGATATGACTGTTCATTAAATCATATCATATATGAAAAGGGGACACATTCTTCCTTCATATGTCTTGATGACTAAGAGGTAAGGGGCAAGGAGGAATATGTATATTTCCACTTACTTCTTGGTTAACAGAACTGCAAATCTTACTGCCATTTATTAATTTAAAGTTCAATTTTTTCACTGCTGTCTTGCCATCTCACAGTCATTATATTTGTAAGCTGTGATAAACACATATTCTATCCAGCAAAGTAGTGATAATAAGAAAAAAATTACAGGTAGACTTCCTTCGATTTCAAACTGGGAAATGAACTAACAATTTTCAGATCTCGTTTTCCTAAACCTTGCAGAAGGGAGGCAGAGGAGTCAAAGATTATCCCGATTGAAATTAACCTCCAAATATCTTGAAGTCTGGCTCAAAAATGGAGAAAGCTAGGCATGGGCAAAGGCGAACAGACGAAACTTAACATTTTATTATCTAGGAATGGGGGGACATTATGTCCCCCAGTACTATGGGGTTGGTGTCTGGATTTTATATCAGTGGTAATGGTATTAATATTGAAGAAATGCAAAACTAAGTTATATTCACTGTGCACATGTGCTGTTGCAATACTGAAGCACATGACTAAGGTTTTGTAGAGCAGACAGAATTCTTATATTTTCACTCTAGTAAAGGTATTAATGATAGAAATGCTGAGGTTTTAATGCTAGCTACTCATCTAACATCACCTCATCCTACAACGGAAGAACAACTGCATGCCATACCTGGGACTGCTAGAGTCATGACCACTGTCATAACCTTCAGGTCCTATTGCTGGGTGTTGGGGTCTCAGACTAGCATGGCGAGAGCCTATCTTGCCCCCAAATAACCTGCGATGCAGACGGGTAGAGGCGGGAGCAGGAGGAAGGGATGGTGGAAGTACTGGCAGAGGTTCATCCTCTTCCTCGCCGTCTTCATCACGAGCCTTACCAGTTACGGTCCGCACTTCCTCTCGTGCCATTGGATGGTTTCTGTAAGCAGTAGAATCATAATTTCATTCATTTCTGAGTCCATATATATACAGCATGGCGTATCTGAATTTCAAACTAATTAGTCTTGTGCAGTACTCAGTACCTCATGGCAGTGGTAATCAAGAGAACTTCATTAGAGAAAGCAGAAGACATGTTCTCTGACTGCAATACTATAAACAGAAGGCAAATTGACATAACTACGGTAAAATTTGTTTGTAATAATTAATAAAATAGAAAAGAAATATCATTATCACAGATATCACATTACAACCATATTGATGACATGTAAGTAAACAAAAACAAAAGAAAGTACAGGAAATTAACCCTTTAAAGGTCTGTACCTCACAGGAAATACATTATATCTCTGCTAAAAGATCAACTGTTAATGCTGTTTAGGGAAATAATGGCTTTTTATTGTGAGAACCATATGAAACACATAAATAAAACTCTGTAGGAAGAATGCAGGATTCTAGTGTGTTAAAGTGAGTGGTACATATAGAAACCATTGGGCTTTAAAAGGTTAAGGGAACAAGTTTGTGTAAATTGCTCTAATCTGGCTAGTAACATGTTGCCAGACCACTAAAACTGTAAGAATATACAAGAACAAAGAAGTTGGATATGTACAACCTTCTGGATTGCGATGACATGCAGTTCAGAGAGAGCATAATAATTCACAGGAACATATCACCTCCATGCTCAAGGTTGAAAAGCAAGCCAGGCAGTAAACAAGCAGAAGCATGTGGCCTGCTGTCAGTTTCTGCTGGTTTCTTGCCTGGTTGGGTATCGACCCTAAAGACAGAATAATATGTTGCTCTGAAATGTTGACTATCTTCTACCAAGCTACATGGCATTAGAGTAAACAAGAAGGTACTCTGCAGATATTCAAATTGATTTAGTACTGTGCTCTTACTTGGTCTGTTGCTCAGATGTTTCTTCTTCATGATCAGAGGTGGATGCACCATTTCCGGGTACTCTCTCCACTTCTTCTTTTAGATTTGGATTTGATGCTCCGTCTGGATGTCGCAGTGATGAGATATTGCATCCACTTCCTACAATACATTAACATAAGGGACACATTAAGAATTAGAACTCATGAACACTTTTATGACAATGACACTGACAGTCAACGTGACATTTAGGTGACAGTGACTGAAAGTGTATGTATTTAACTGTCTGGAGCTGTGACATGGCCTGGAAGCATCCCCTGTGTTTGCAGTATGTGCAAAATATCTTGTGTTGAAATCTCAGGTTTCCATGGCAGTAGAGACTTGGGTTGTGATCTTGGGGGGTTATGACACCATAAGGTTGCCAGGTGATTACCCACATTTTGGGGATAGCATCTCCCTCTGAAACATTAGTAAGTTCATAGGTCTGACTCATGACTTCTGTCCTAGAACGTTCTAAAGCTACCCTGTACATAGAGATTAAACAAATTTGAGACCCCATTAATTAAGATGGAGGTATAGCTCCATACATACTTAACCTACAGACAGGAAAGAACCTGGAATATAAATCTATATATTTTGTAATTGGAGAGGGGTTATTTTATGTAACTCTCAGTATCTAGACCATGTATCTTCAAATGGTAGGATAACTGATGAATTGGAAAGGACCTCGAAGGAAGTGGTCATGGCCTATCAAGATACTATACTGCCATCTGCCTGGGATTGGGGAAACCGCTACAAACCTCGGTCAGGATAGTCAGATTTGAACTAACCACCACCAATAAGACAAGATCTACAAATCCTTGAATATGAAAAAAACACTCTAGTGTGGGAACATCCCACATATTATCACACTGTTTCGCAGATCAACGGACAACACTCACTCCTAGGTCAACAGCACATTGCTGTCAGCTCTCATATTTATACAGCATTCGCTGTCCAGCTCACTCGTAACCATCACGTGCGCTAGATAATAAGTGCTCACAATAGCAACTACAAGTTTAAGCTCCGCCCACTAAGTTTGGTATAAAAGGCGCAGCTCCAACCCAGCAATCTTCGTTGACCACATCAACCAGTCAGACGTCACACTTAGTCCAGAGCGATTGGTCTTCGGAGTCATCGGCTCTTCACTGCATCAGGGATGGCAGCCTCGGCTCTCCGGCAGTCATGCCCAACACACCGGGCAACTGGCGCAGCTGCCGCCACTCCATCGACCGCGCTCCGCAACAAGATGTCTTCCAGCAACCACGATCTGCAACCAGGCAACTTCCAGCAACTGTCGCACTGCGATCAGACAACTAACTCAGCTGCCGCAACATTAGCCAACACACCGTAGCCAACATCTATTTCTACTGGCGCACGCAGCCCTACATCACCGGCCAGACAGGCCTACTAGCAACGAACAAACGACCCTTTTCAGAGTGGTTGTCTATTGGAACATCGACAAATCCCACAGCACTGTGAAGCAATGTGCTATTGACTTAGGACTGAGTGTTGTCCATTGATCTGCAAAACAGTGTGATAGTACGTGGGATGTTCCCACATCCGACAAATCCCACACTTGATTATCTACACTGTGGATTAAGTGTAGAATTTTCAGAACCTCTATGTTACTGGTTATAGCTTACCATAATTATTTAAGTGTTGCCAATAAATCTATCTCAGTAAAATGTATCACAACGCCTTACAATGATTTGCAATAGACTATATGTCTTTTTACCCTGTTGAAATTTTTGAATTATTTTATTGCTTCCCCCACTCTCCTACTACCACTTAACAAGAGCTATTTTCTTCCTGTTGAACACATACTTGTCTCACTATTTAGTAACCAGTAGCACAATCACTGTACTCCACAATATTATTTGTTGTTCAATGTTAAGTTTTAGAGTTGACACCATCATGGATAGTGGGTATTTCCCTTCTTTTTTTTTTATTACTGTTTCTAGTTACGTGTGCTAACTGTTCCCTCCACTGCAGCAGATACGAGTAATTGAGAGTTCACAGCACTGTTAAGCAATCCAAGTGCACTAGAGATCAAAATTACACATGACCCACATCATAAAAGAAACTTACTACAAAACCGGTGGTTTTTAGAATCACAGAGCAATGATCCAAGAGGATGGTGCAATGGAATGTGTTCCCTGGTCGTTGGAGTCAACAGGGGCTGGTACCAGCTGCTTCCGTTACCTGTGTGACTGAAGCTCATCTTACAGTTGTCACAGATTTTAGCTTGGTTCTGGAGTAGAGGCTCATGCGGATTATAAGCTGGTTCACTATAGATGCTGCCACCACCTGTGCCAGCACCGGCGCCACTATAGCTGTTGTCAGGGTTACCAGTGCCATACAACATGTCGGACATGGACAGGGACTGACATCTGGACGGAGGACGATATTGGAGGGAGGGGCTGAAAGGTGATGACAGTGCTTTTGTAACATTCGCTCTGGCAAGTTTTATCTTATACATCTCATGCAGCCTTGCCAACTGCTCAAATTTATTCTGATTTGTTATGAGGTCTGAAGTTCGTTGTTTCTTTTCACTAGTACCGTCGTCAAACAAGGGCAGTTCTGTTCGAGCTTTATAATCATCTGGTAGTTCATATAGGCTGTATGGTCGGTGGTTAGGGAAACTCCCCTCTGACTGCCCAAATTGATGGCGAGGAAGCATTCGCTCCAGGTCTGTCACTACAGACAATGAGTCTGCAATTACAGAAATCACAAATTAGAATATTTAACATAAGAAGAAGAAGGAGAAGGAGAAAGAGGAAGATATATTACAGTCCAGTGTTTCAAACAAATTGTAATTTCGCTAAGACTTTTGGGATCTCATGCTGTGGAACAGACTTCAGAACATTCCATATTAAGAGTTGGAACTGGCTGCACCGTGGATGGCTCTCTGACCGCAGACATTTATAACCTGTTATTCCTGGATGATAAACTGTTACCAATGTCATGTCCCATGACTTAAAATGTGGCTGCCAAAACTGTAGCACCAGGAGATTTAAAATCCCCTACTCCCAAATAATAAATGTTAAAGAAAATTTTAGTTTGTAATAATACAAATTAATTTAAAATAGGAATGTTGAAAAAGAGCACTTACTGTATTTGTGAAGAAATATGATTATCACAATTATGAAGTCTTATGAGTCTGTTACAATTAATGTGACTATTATTTTTGGCACTTAATATTCTTTTGAGTTCCTTAAAACATTGAAACTGTTTCCACCATCAGGTGTAGGGGAGAAAAGCTGGGCTCACAGAAAGAACTAGCTTTGATTAAAGATCCAGTGATCAAGACTAGCTCTTTCTAATGGGTCCAATTGAACAGAAACTTACTGATGGCAACATCCCCAGTTTACTAGAGAACTGTGTTCGAACAAATTCAAAACAATGGACAATGAACAAAATACCAGTCATGTATGTGTAGTTATCTGCCATAAACAAAATTATAGGTCATGTAACCATTAAGTGTCCCCATACCAGTGAATGTTGAGACAACTGTCAGGTTCTCTTGGCTCAGAATTCGCAAAGGATGTTCCTCATTGCTCTCTTGATCAACTTCTGGCAGAAGATTTGGAATTTCACCCATGCACAGTGCAATGTCTTCCTCTGTTACCTACAGCACAGCAGAATATACATAGTTTTTATGTTTCTGTCCAGAAAGAGAAGAACAATATGCAGACAATTTGTCACCATTCAAAGGTCATAATTCAACCAAGTGTCAGACACTCCCCTTCTTGTTTGCATCACACAGAGCATGTCCCAGAAGGTCAATATTCTGGGAGGTTATACTCGTAATATCAGTCCTATTCCCAACAGTTTCTGAGATAGACAACATCTTATTTGTAAAAAAACGTGGTAGAGTAAGACACATGCAAATGGTGAAGTTAAGTCTTCATGGTGGTGAACTTCTTAGGAGCTCCAATCTGTCACAACTATGGCTTATATGGGCAAAGACGCTGTATATGAAATTACAACACATTAAAGACTTCATACCTGTAGACATGAATCTTGCATGGGAACAAGTTCAAATGGCTCTTCAACTTCAATGATTTCGACTTCATCATCGTTGTCACCATCAATATCGCCAACATCACCAGCTGCTTCCCTTCGTTCTTGAAAGATTCTTAATCTTACATCAAGACTGTCACCTGAAACATCTATAAAGTAAGTTAACTATATCGGTATCTGGTGGTACAGGTAAGATTTTCTAGTTCCTGCTACTGACAATGAAAGAAGTGTTAAATCAGAAAACGTCTAGACAAACTTTTATAAGGCTAGTATTAAGAGTGCTGAAATTTCAAAACAACATTCTTAAGTATAAAATCTACTAAGAAAACAATATCGGTTCATGTATAAAGTTTCTGCCCGTAAAAAGCAAACATAACCTCAATACTGCATTTTATAACCTACTTTCATGCCAACTATATAAAAGTTAAGCGAAATGTAAGGTTTATCATGGCAGTGACTATGAAGAGTACCATATTCTTGGATGTGATGTCATATAGTCTGGTAGAATTTTACTGACATATCTCAGAAATGTTATGGAACTTTTACCAGACTATATGATGTCACATCCTAAAGGACTGGTACCCTTCACAGAATTTGTGCCTATCTAAGCATGTCTGCACTAAGCCACTAAACTTATTGCAATCCCAAATTTTCTGCATACTTTCCAGTGACATTCATTATTGCCATCTTCTGTTCCTACCTGTAACTCTCACAAACTATCAACTTCTGCTATAAACTTATAATTAACATACACAAAGACAGAACAACAACAATCTTCTACAATCTTATAGTCACAATCGTAATTATTTGCTAACATGCATCACAACAGAACAGAAATACATGGCCTTCTACATAAAAGGATTCAAGGTTTTTATTGAAGTGATCATTCAGACTGTGGCCATCTGTGTTACAACTGTGCGTAGTTCCGAAGGTGCTTATGAATGTTTTAAAAGGAACCTGTTGTCCCCCTTCCATCATGAAGATGTAGGTGACAGGTTAGTTTTCTTTTTTGGGGGGGGGGTTCTTAATTTTCAGAGTATAGTGCTTATTAAGCACATTATGTTTAGCTTATGAGATTGAGGAATGTCCACACTTTATTAAACAAGATTAGTTCACAATTATGACATATATATATATACATATATCAAAGTCTTACCTAGACTAATCTCCTTGTTATGAGGTTGGAAGAGCTGGAGAGGTGGGGGAAGATCTCCCAAGATATCATCTTCTTCCTCAACATTCTCCAGTTCAGCCTCTACTGTTTTCATATCTTGTTTCCCTAGCCTATCATCTTCTGTCTCTAAGGAACATTTCCCATTGGGTCTCCGATTTTCCTCAGTTTGTTCTATTATCCCATTGCACTGATTATTCTCAACCTGTTCTACTTCTGCATTGCACTGATTATCCCTAACTTGTTCTACTTCTGCACTGCTCTTCATATTCTGAGGCATATCTGACTCTTTGCCTGGACCTGACACTACTGTTTTATCTTTGGTTGTATAACAATGTGGTTCAGCCTCTACTGGTGGATTTGAGTCCCCTCCCAAAGTCTGAGTTTCTTCTACCTCACAAGTTTTAAAAACAGTAAGCTCTTTATATGCATGCCCCTGGGAAGCCCCAGATGCTGGTGGTCTCTGACACAAAGCAGGAGTTACATGCTTAACTGTTTGTCGCTGGATTTGAACAGTCTGATTTTCAACCCATTTTCGAATCATGCTCTTCTTATGGTTGTCCATAAAGCCATAGCTCCCGCTGGCATGGCCATTACCCAGTGTTGTCAATTTTGCAGTCTGCAATGGACCATCAATCCATGTTTCTTTCTTCTTGTGACTATCTTTGAGCAAACTTCGGGCCTCTGCTACTTTCGATTTAGAGATTCGAGGGCCATCAATCCACTGTTCATCACTTCCAGAGATAATTCCAGGGGAATTACTACAGGTGTTGCTGAAAGGCACGGGGATCTTACTTGAAGAGAGTGACTGTGTAGAACTTGAGAGTTGCTGCTGGTCTGCCAGTAATGTTGCTGTTTTGTGGGGCACTGTTTTAGAAGGAGTCCTTACCGGGGAAGATTTACAACTACTGTTATGACTTGGGGAAGATGTTTTTGAGTTTGGTTGATTTGCTGCAGATTTTGTTGAGCTGCCACGATGCGATGGGCTACTCTTTTCTTCTACCAAACTACCATTGGGTAGTTTAGATTGTGTGCTGGTTGATTTAGCTGGTGATGACGAAGATGATTTGCTCTGGTGAATGACAGTCTTTGACGGCTGCCTGTGCTCAACACTGGAGCCTCTCAGAGCCTTGCTCATGGCACAGCGATTATCACCAGAATTAAGGCTGGGGATGTAGACGGGCGGATGCTCTCCATCTGTTGCAGTATCATCAGAGGGGCCGATGTAGATGACAGTGTCAGCTGACTGTTCACTGCTAGAGGGATCAACATCTGAGCTGCCTGTGGAACGACCATTCTCTTGTGCCTGCTGCAGGCGAGCCACTGAATCTTCAGCAGTGTTGCCACCTGACGCAGCTGAACCCACGGTGAACTGAAATGAACATGTATCACGGTTATGTAGAACTACATTATCATTTTCTGATGTATAAGATGCAGTTTCCATTTCTAGAAAATAGCCCTATAAATATACTGTATTCATGCACTTATTGTTTTCATAGATTCTTAGAATCTATGAAAACATTGTTTGTATTTATGATTACTGGCATTTATTATATTTCCTTTATTTAATGCTAATTAGTTTTAGTAAGTTTTTATTTGTATAAATAAAAACACCTACAATCTTGGTTCATTTAGCAACTTATTTAGCAAGAAGAAGAAGTCAGAAGCGAAGTCATTTTATGTGGTGTAGTTACAGTAACCTTTAGAGTGTTATCATTGTTCGTAGTTGCAAAGTGTTATAGTTTCAGTGAGATTGTGTTACAATTAATTGTAGTTCCCCCTGGTGAATATCCAATAAATTGATACACCAATCCAGAATCACATCTAAAGTCACTAATACATGTGACAATACAGTTTTTCATTTAAATATATTCATTTATTTCTAAGCATAACATTTTGCACAGTTTATTATATTTTTATACAGTAATTTAAGATAAACTAATCAGGCTGTTTCTTTAACCTTCACTTTTCATTAATTTAATTAACACAAATTTTATAATGCATATTTCTAGAATTGAATACCTTATGTAATGAGGATTCTTTTGTATCAGATGTTAATACATTTCCAGAATTAAATGAAAAAATATGAGTCACAGAACTGTGCTTGAGACCTGACCCAGGCACCTCCAGAATACAGTGTAACGTGTTTGGAATCCAGAAGAGTCACTTCTATGGAAATGCTAGAACAGACCGTTGCATAGGAAGTAACAATAGCAGTACTGTAATTCTAACAGTGAGCACTGCATAGAGATGAGTTTCCACGGTTCATTGTATAGCAACCGCCGAGGTATAAATAGCCCAGCTTCAACAAGGAGGAGTCAATCTTTGGATAGATGCCGAAGGATACAGAAGTCAGTCTCAGGATAGACGCCGAGATATACAGAAGTCAGTCTTCAGGAAGCTGCTGCTGAAGATAGTTGGAATCTAGATACAAAGAGCTACAGAAGTATTGGCCGAGATATTGTGTAAGCAGTGACTGTAATACTGCAAGTGCTAATAGTTGTGAAGTGTGTAAGTGTGAGTGTCCAATAAACATTCACTAATTGCTTAAAGTAAGTTACTCAACAAAAATATAAAGTGACATGCTTTCCCACATTTACATGATATTTCAAAATATTTATAAGCCGGAAGGTCACGGGTTCAAGTCCCGATGCGGTCATTGGATTTTTTTTTTCAGTTGACCTAATCCTTCCAGCTGCACTTGGCCCTGGGGTTTACTCAGCTTCTAACAGAAATGAGTACCAGGAATTAATTAAATAATTTTCCTGGGGAGTAAAGCGTGGCCAGCACGTAAGGCTGACAACCTTACCGCCATCTTTGAGCCGATTGTCTAGATAATGTGGGACCCTCAACGTCTCACAACCCTATGGGCCTCCACGGCCTGGTACAGGGAAAGCTTTACTTTTACTTTTATTTATTTATAAATGTTCACAGCATAAACAAAATTTACATTGTATTTATTCAATGTACACACTTATTACACATACTTCTTAAGCTAAATAGTTCAGTTTAAATTTTTATTTTAAAGGTTATATGCTTCTGTTTTGCCTGACCTGTCCTCCTTCTTCACGCTGTTTACTTCATCTCTCAAACACTGTGGTAAAGATAATAGTTGCTGGATATTTCCATCATGCATGTATACTGCATACTCCTTACTGTGTGCTATTTACTGAGGGAATAACCTGGAAAGTGATAGGCCCTTCAAAGGGCAATCAGGAGGGGGGGCTGACATTTCAGTTCCTTCTACCTATTGTGACTCATGAGGTATCAGACTTTGGGGTTACCAAAGTTCAACAGGAGCTTCAGGAGTATCTGTTCTTAAGTCATGCGAAATTCACATTATGATGTAGAGAAATTTTGATACAGTCCATGTGACTCATTGGTATTGTGAAAGAGCTGTAATTCATACAAAATGCAGAGGCAAACTGAATAATGATTCTCTAAATATGACATCTGACACCAGCAGCTCCCAACTGTTTTCAATTCATGGTCTAATAAGACAGAAGTAGGTTTTCCTAGGACCAATACACAATGTAATTCACAAAGCTAGACAATGATAATTTAGAAATACAATAAGTACTATTACATACAACTTTTTTATTAATAATAAGCATTAACATTCTTAGGATTTTGAACAAATATATAAAGAAAAATCAGGCCACAAAGAGAGAGAGAGAGAGAGAGGGAGAGACAGACAGACAGAGAGAGGAAAACAAAATGAATAAAATTCAGAAAATTTAAGGATAAAGACAATAGGAGGTAAATTACTGAATAACAGAATAAGATGGTATAGGCATCCACAAAAGTTGGCACTAACTTCGTCAACAAGCGGTGGTCGCTCAGTTGGTATAGTTCACTTGCGGAAACAACAGAGTTTGTTTTTTTTTAACAGATATTATTAGGTTGACCAAAGCGAGATGGAAAGGATGCAGAGGGAAAATAAAAAAGAATGAATGTGAGAGATAAGAAATGTGCACAAAGTTTTTCCTGGAAAATATACCAAAGAGACTACTTGGAAAAACAGTGGCATGGATAGGAAAACATTAAATTGCATCTTCAAAACAATAATATCAGAGGGTGTGAACTGTATTTATGTATTTGGCTCAAATGAGGGACGGATGCTGGGCTTTTGGGCACAGGCGATGGACCTTAATATCCATTAAATGTGAGGAATTTCTTATGCAGATCAGCACCTGTTAGCTTCTCTGCCATTAGTTTGTTAGTTAGAGATAAAAGACATATAACCCATCTAATAAGCATAAGTTAGGTCAAGTTATTGTCTATTACATCATGTCACAGACTGTGAACATTTCACAGACCACTAGCTGGAGTACATAAACTTATATCACAGTAAGAGAATGAACCTTTATCTTGCGACGTCTCATGCGGTGAATCCTAGAAGCAAGCTGCACAGTGGCCAGGGTGTCTGTGTAGTGCTGTGCTGCTGGTGATACGTGCGCAATCATGGCAGCATGACATGTGAGGGAACTCAGACACTCCTTCAATAACTGTGTCACTTTATGTTCCCTAAACAGTACAAGCAACAGGCTAAATGTTTCTGATGATGATAATACAATGAACACAATTATCATTTTGGACACTGTCTCCTGTCTCAAGTTATTTCAAATATAACGTATAAAAAGTAATCTGCTGTCCATCATCAGTTGTAAGGAAGGAAATGTTCCTAATTAGTTGCACCTGTTAGAAAGAGCCAGTGTCAATTACAGGATGATGTTATACCCTCAGATGATCTCGCCATGTAAGAGTGATCCAGCATTTGGAACCTGAGAGTCTCTGAAACATCCCACACTAACTCCATTTGCATATGGCTGATCAAAGAAGAATATTTCATTACAGCTATTTTAAACTTTTTACAGTTAAATATCTCCTGCTATGGAGAGTCATGACGTTTTCTTCCACGCATACAACATACCTTACAAAATGAGGGCTTAGCCATTAACTGAACTAGCCAAGCGAAGTGTTTCAACAATGCTATTATTCTTACTCTTATGTCAACAATTCAATTTTCTTCTCTGCTGCTCCCAATATAATTCCTCTCACCTGTATGGAAGATGTTTCTGCCCATTGAAAATAGCCAGAAGAACGTTGCCGAGTCCGGAAAGAGGAATACCACCATTTGCTTTCCCTCTTTCACAACTCCCCAGGTCGATCAGGTGGAGTCGACTTCTGCCCCCAGCAACACCGTGGCCTTTCCCAGAGACACTATACTGGTATACATGAAGGGTGTAGAGTAGGTGTGAGTCTGCAGTGCTGCCCCCACTACCATCAGCGCGACCGCCACTTCGACTGCTGACTGCAACGTCCAGATAGAACGCCGCCTTCTCAGCAGTTGGCACCCGGAGTTCACTCTGGTTCTGTAGCTGGGTACCGAACAGTGGATCGTCACGGAGGTACACACCAGGGGACTGTTCACAGTCTGTACAAAACATGCAGAAACATATTACTGGTATCCTTTATCAGTTTGATGTCATTCTCAAACACCGAGCACTCAGAAAACTGGAAGATTCTCATGTTTTGCAGCAACATCTGACTGCCTATATGTGTGTGCATATGTAATAAAGCAGTTCTTGATTAATCCATTAGAAACACATATGGTAACACCTAACTAACAAGACACTTTCCACACAGAGTTTTGGTATGTGTTCTGTTCCGAAAATATTCAGAGGCTGTTCCCCTAACACCATTAGCTGAATTACAGATATACAGTGTATTTTTCTCCGCTTCAAGATACAAACAGACTTTTAATATATTGTTTATGAGCGCTTTGCTTTATGAAGGGTTAATATACAGAGTGATTCTAAATTATTGCTAGGGTTTCCATGACCTACAATTTTAAAACTGGAAATAACAAAATAAAACTGATGATGGAATATGAAAGGGTAGCTCAAGGAGTTTTATTGTTTGTAGAATCTATACTGTAGAATGCTAAACAAGTTCAACATGTGTGCCTTCATTTTATTTCCGGTTTGAAAATTATAGGTCACGGACCCCGACAATAATTTAGAAACATTCTGTATTTTTATAAAATGTATAACTTCTCATAGCAGAGAACGTTACATATGATCTGAAGACTTGGGTTGATTCTTTGCACTTGATTAAAAATTGAAAATGAACTGATCTTTACCCTAAGACAGGGGGAAGCTGAGGAGGGTATCTGGACCTAAGAGGGAGGAAATAACAGGAAAGTGAATAAAACTGTGTAATGAAGGACTTCATAGTTTGCAGTCTTTACGATGTACCAAACAGCATTAGGGTCATCAAATCGAGGTAAGATGGGATGAGCATGTAGCATTCATGCAGGAAATATACATTTAATGTAAAACTTGAAGAAATGAGGCCACTTAATAGACCTAGACATAGCTGGTGTGGGAGCTGGGGTAGCACAGTCAGCATAGCGACTGGCTATGGGCTGGTCGGCCTGGGGTCAGAGTTAGCGTCCAGGTAAGGTCAAGAATTTTCTGTTCTCCACATCGTCCAGACAGACTCTGGGGCCCACCCAGCCTATCCAATGGGTAACAGGGGGCTCTTTCTCCGGGGGTAAAGCGGCCGGGGCGTGAAGCTGACCACTCAATTCCAACTTGTACCGAGTTCAAGAGAATGTGTCTCTATACATCCACTCCCCTAATTAAGCACAGGAACGACTTTACCTTTAGACAGGTGTAACCGAGAAGTTAATATTTATTACCAATGATCATACGTAAGTACTATGTGAGGTTGTGAAATGGATTAATCTGACTCAGTGAGGATCTGTCATGGATTTTTAAAATATGGTAATGAATCTTTGGGTTCTATAGAAGGCAGGGAATTTCTTGGATCGTTGAGCGATTATAAGCTTCTTGAGGACCCTGCTACATCCAGTTAAATAAAAAAGTTGTAGAGAAAATTAAATATATGTCATAAAACCAATACACTTCCTTCGTCCTATAATATTCGACATAATTAAACAGACGGATATTATGAGTAACAATTGTAAACCTACACATTCAACAATTATCGATGGACTGCTGAATTGAAACGCAATTAAGGAAATTTAAGTCTATGTTGAGCTCAGACTATGTTAACTTCCGGCTCTTTTTATTATTTCATTGTTAGATGGGCGGATAGAAGTGACAAGAAGACGAGGAAGAAGACGTAAGAAGATGCTGGATGACCTTGGGGACAGAAGAGGATACTGTCATTTGAAGGAGAAAGCTCTAGATCGCATTAAGTGGAGGAATTGTTTTGGAAGAGACTGTGGACCTGTCGTCTTGATAGATTACTGATGATGATGATGATGATGATGATGATGATGTAGTGTTATATTACGCCGAAGAGGGATGAAGTGACGGGAGGTTGGAAACAATTGCATAATGAGGAGCTTTATAACTTGTATGCTTCTCCAAGTAAAAGTAAAAAAAATAAAGGTATCCCTGTACCAGGCGGTGAAGGCCCATAGGGTTGTGAGACGTTGAGGCTCCCACATTATCTAGACAATCGGCTCAAAGATGGCGGTAAGGTTGTCAGCCTTACGCGCCGGCCGCGCTTTACTCCCCAGGGAAACTATTTAATTAATTCCTGGTACTCATTTCTGTTAGAGGATGAGTGAACCCCAGGGCCATAGTGCGGCTGGAAGGGTTAAGTCAATTGAAAAAATCCAATGACCTCATCGGGACTTCCCGCGACCTTCCTGCTTGTAGCATAGTGCCTCAACCACTACGCCACGGCCATCTAAGTAGTTCCAGAGCACTTTTATTTTTAATAACGAAGCTATTTGCAGTGACTTTCGACGTCGCACACCAACGGTACCTACAGAAACGAATTCCGGAACCTTCCTTTAAAATACGTAAGTGATCATTTCAAGTGGCTTTTATACTGACCTTGATCTTGTATCTACTTTGAAGAGCCATTTCGATATTTAATTTTGGCTAAGGGCATGGGTCAGCGACCGTGAAAATGACGTAGGGAATACAACTCAGAAATCACAGCCTACTATCCAAAGGGTACGCGGGAATCTCTTTTCGGGAATGAAACGGCCGGGGCGTGCAGCTGACCACTCACCTCCACCCTGTGCCGAGGTCAGGAATGGTGGAGCTATACCTCCACTCTACCGTATGTCTTCATGGTGTGGTGCGTAATTAATTAAGAGCAGGGTCAACTTTACCTTTACAGATTTTCTTGTTCACTTTTTCTTATGCCCTAGGCCTCAAATTATTGAAGTTCCACCTGAAAATCTTAAAAGTCTATGGCCCAAGAAGAGCTTTTGTTTCCGTCAAATCGAAAATAAAATAAAGCTTAATTTTTAATTCTGTATACAGAATGTAAATGATCGCCTCTGTGGTCTAGTGGTCAGAGTTCCTGGCTACATATCCAGAGGTCCGGATTCGATTCCCGGCGCTACCAGATTTCTTCTGAGAATTAGAGGGTCTGGAACGGGGTCCACTCAGCCTCGTGAGGATAACTGAGGAGATACTTCAAGGAAATGGCGACTCCGGTGTAGAAAACCGAAATTAATGGCAGTGGGGATCCGCTGCGCTGCCCACGCGACACCCTCTATCGGCTTAAGTTGGCACTAACTTCGCCGACAAGCGGCGGTCGCTCGGTCGGTATAGTTCGCTTGCGGACTGCAGGCCACGGAGTTTGGTTTTTTTTTTGTATACACATTACTAACATACAACTTAAATAAAAATTTCATGAAAACTAAAAGAAAGCTAACACGTTTTCTCTTGCCATAGTAACATTAAAGTCGTGCAAATGTGATCTTAAAACAGTGGGTAAGATCCCCACACCCTACCCCACCCCAGAATTTTACCTTCGTATACTGTATACCATTTGTTTTCTTTCCCCAATACTACAGTACTGGATGAAGCATTCACTTAACTTCGTTCTTGCCTTCAACGTAAAAGTCCCCATAAGCTTTATCTCCGAATTTCATCTCTATCTGTGTGGAGTATATTTATTGCCGTATCAGGAAATTAACCTCGCTCGAGCGTGAAAAACTTATCCGTGTCGTCACTTTGTTACTTAGCATCATGTCCGCCACTTTCGTGCCTGCGCAGGGAGGGCAAAAAGTGATGTAAACTTGGCCTTAATGCTTGTGTTCATCGTAATCATATTAATTGATAAATCCTTCTGTGCTGACTCATTCTTGGAAAGAGCCATATATATCTGCCTTACAACAAACGGAAACGACAGGTGGTGGTTGGCCTAATATGCTTGTTTTGTTAACAAAAGACTTACTAGTAACTGATTACAGTATTTACATAACAAAAAGCACAACATAAAGTAAAACATATTCTCTAAACAAGCAGCTACAATAGAATTTCACATACGTACAGACAGAGAATCCAGATATAACCTCATTCTATACAACTGTTTCATAACTTGGAATGTTTCGTAATTAGTTTAGAAAAGTAATTATTCAACAGACAAGCAACGGACGGCACAAGAGAGATGTATAGCTACATTAAAGTAATTACTAATTAATGTAATCTACAAACATTAATTCTGCACGGACAGATGGTTGGGTAGAAACAAAGCGAATGTTCTATTACTGCAAGCTGCAATGCTACACACGTAGCAAGAGGCTACAATAGACGGCTGGAGGGGGGAAGTTTGCTCTGATTTCTGGAGCTCAACGCTATGGTGACAGGAGAAACAAGCCCTGGAGACTGTTTTTCTTTCTGTTAACAATTCGCAAAGAATTTATTATTTATGATGCAGATCTTCACACGCGAGATGGACATGCTTTTATTAGTATGGGCATAAACAATGCTATTATTTCATGCAGATGATAATTCAGTGGCTAGGCTTAGTTACAATTTGCTACCAGGGTCTGAATTATAACAAACCACCCCAGCTCCCTTCCACCATACACAAAACATAACAATCACGAATGCATTAATCAACACGATACAATACAATACAATATAATTATTGTGTTTCTGGATATTCTCCATTGTCCTGTGTTTTATTTAAAACATAACGTTTCGGAGCCTGGATTCTGTCTCCGTCCTCAGGTAAAACCTACTCAGTTGGACCCAACAGACAGAGCTAGTTCTGTCTCCGGACAATACAATCTGTTTCTAACATTACGATATTGGATAAACAGAGACAAGCCATCTGAATGGGATTTGAAGTTCTGGTGGCTGTATTAAGATGATGGTCTGTCTCCTGGGGCGTGAGGTCGCGCAGTTTGGTAAACATCTACCAACGTTTCGGAGGAATGTGGTGCTTCCGAATTCAGGGTCGTGCCCTTGGCATATATAGAAAGCACGCTGGTACTTATCTAACGAGACTATACGGCGTCATGAGCCAGACGACAGTAATTTTCATTAATCATCGCCCTGAGAACCTCATATTCCACGTTAAAATTTTGTTCAATTTGATGTTTAGGGTTTTTTAGACACTAGAAGGAACCGTGAGATATTGTAGCGTAGCCCAACATAGAAATAATAAAGTCTTTTAAACATGGCGGCATGGCGGCCGTTCAAGTGCAAGGCCGGAATTAAAGGGGAGGAACCGGCAGAGTCGCCCCGGGGCCTCCACAAAACAGAAATAGCGTCCACAGACTTAATTGAGACATTTACTTACTTACTTACTCATGGAGATCAGCCCTTCTTGAGGAGCCGCCAATTCTGCAGCTACTCAAGAATTTCCCAGCATTTTATGGAACCCGAAGTTTAATTGCCGTGTTCAGAAAAGCCCTTCACTGGTCCCTATCCTGAGACAGATCAATCCAATCGAAAACATCCCAACGTATCTCTCTAAGATCCATTTTAATATTGTCCACCCACCTATGCCTTGGTCTTCCCAGTGGTCTCTTTCCTTCAGGCTTTCCTACCAATATCCTATACGCATTCCTCGTATCCTCCATTCGTGCTACATGCCCTGTTCACCTCATCCTCCTTGACTTGATCATTCTAATTATACTTGGAGAAGAGTACAAGTTATGAAGCTCTTCATTATGCAGTTTTCTCCAACCTCCTGTCACTTCTTCTCTCTTTGGTCCAAACATTCTCCTCAACACCCTGTTCTCAAACACCCTCAGTCTGTGTTCCTCCCTTAGTGTCAGAGACCTAGTTTCACACCCATACCGAACCACAGGCAAGATTATAGTTTTTTATATTCTAATTTTTTTTTTTGTTTTTGGAGAACAGACGAGAAGACAAAAGGTTCTGGACTGAATGGTAGCAAGCATTACCAGAGTTCATTTGCATCTCTAAAATCACGTAAAGTTAGTTTGTATTTTTTGTTATTATAAGGGATAAAAAGATAAGCAAAGAAATGAATTGGCATAACCTGAATTTGCTGTTACTGAGAGGAGCCGCCACGCTTTGATTGTCCCTACAGTTCTAAATACGGCCTAAGCTCCCGTTATAGCAATACTCGTATAATAAGGAATAACCTGCTGTACAGAGGCTGAACTTCACTCTCATGAAAAGGCACATCAATTCCCCTGAGAGTGGGGAAGACCCATAAGGACTAAATAGCAACGGTCAATATTTTCGGCCTTAAAATCTGGGCCCGACCCCAAGAAACCGACTGTACAGTGTACGTACAGGGCACTTTGAAAACCTGTACCTTCTTCTCCTCACAGAGCATGTTTAAGCAGACAACGAGGATCGGCTGAGGAAGCCGACATTAATGCATCATGAGCAGGGCCCGGATTTTGATGACCTGAAAATATTAAAAAAAAAAGACCTATAAAATGACCGAAAAAATCCAGAAAAATTACCTAAAATATGACCCCAAAATGAAATATGCAGGGCCCGGATTTTTATGACCTAAAAAAATAAAAAATGACCTATAAAATGACCGAAAAAATCCGAAAAATGACCTAAAGGAGAAAAGAAAGAACACTTCGGTTTCATGTTATTCACATTTCAGAAAACATATTAAGAAAAATTCCCTAAAATGGCCATAAATCACAAGAAATACCCTTACAAGTCCAAAAATTTACCAAAAAATTACCCCCCAAATGAAAAATTTACCTTAAACCTAAAACTGTTCAAAAATGACAAAAAAAACTATAAAATTTACATTTCTGTAACCAGCAGCTCATATTCGAGATTTATATATTCAAGAGCATCGCATAGGATACAAGGAAAAAAAGATAACATGTCATGAAAATCCGGGCCCTGATCATGAGTGTTCATTCTGCCTGAAGATGGAGGCAACAGATTCGTTCGTAACGTCGGAAACCCTTTTATAGGCCACAGTGAGTTACAACTCACAATACTGTAGGCCTACTCTCTCGAAATATTTTATGATTAAAGTCGTCTTTGCTATTTACGTAAGCATTGCTTTTAGCTCGCGTATCGGTTTCCACTGAACAGTTACAATAGCCCATTCGAATAAACGGGGGATCTAGATGCTTGTGAGGGCGAAGAGTCCTTTCAAAGTCTTAAGTTAAGTCTCACTAACCGTCACCCCACCCCCTATCTACCCAAACGGTCCCCTTCCCACACAACATGAAACTTTCCTAGCAAACACAAGAAAACTCTTTCTTCCATCCCTAGTCACACCGAACAGGTTTTACTATAAGAAATCCAATATGGTAAAAATTACCCTACTCCAGCTTTCTATATAACACCCACCCTTAAAAACAGAAACACCCATTACAACCCTAGTATAAATCCTGAAACCATCTTCCAGAGAGGAAAAAAAAATCAACTATTTTCATAGGAATAAACGTAAAAAGTGATGTCCTGGAGCCCTGCCTTAAGAGTCTTGGGTATGGGGCGAGGGTGTGGGGTGCGCACCAGATGCTGGTAACACTTCCTACAGTGAGACGAGGGTTGAACACCCTTTTCTCTACCCCACATTTCTTCTTCAGATATCGCAATTTTCTTTTGTTCAACTCTTAAAAATATGCAGCAAAGTCATGTTATTTCTTCTTTTGAATCTAAATTTAAAGCTTGTCGCGAATTTTTACGACGTGGAAATGTTTGTAGCGCTGAGAAGAGCGACGGGGCTTCAGTACCTACTGAATATTAATCCAGCAGAAGCTGCGTGTAATCCCTGCGCTGTAACAAACGTTTCTTGGGGGATCTGCGAAGGCCCGGTCTTCGGAACTGAGATGCAAGTTTAGTGCGCGGTTAAATCTGGAAGCCATAAGAACGAAGAAAACAGCTACTTAGGTACAAAAGAAATGACCAGTTCCACATAGAAGATTCCTTCTTGAGAATCTAACAACTGCTCAGACAGCCAAGAAATTTCCAGCATTTTATCAAATCTTCAGGTTAATTACCATGTTCACAACAGTCCGTTACTGGTTTCTGTCCTGAGCCAGATGAATCCAGTCCCGGGAGAGAAGGTAATGGACAGTACAGGAGAGGGCAGAAAGGTAAAAAGCAATAAGATGGAAAGAGATTAAAGAACAAGAAAGACGAGGGAGAAGGTGTGAAACAAATCAAGATTATAAAGGAGCAAGAAGGGTCGAAGATGATGATGAAGTAAGTGATAATAATAAGAAGAAAAACTTTGGTTTCAAAGAGTTAAAGAGACAAATTACTACTGGGCTTTTGCTAATAAAATACAATTAAAATACCAACCTGTAGCTTATAGTAAATTATTTGCTTTAATAAAAATTGTAAATATGATTACATGAACATAAATTGGGTTTGTATATCTTAATGTTTTGGTAATATCTTAATCATGTGTTGACCTATGTAAGATTTGAGGCTTTCACGGCGGTGACTATGAAGAAAGCAGTCTTCTGGGATTTGGCACCGTGTATATGTGGTGTTAACCGACGTTTCGGAGGAACGTATCGCCTCCACTGTCTGCTTTTACCGGTTCTCACGGTCTCTTCGCTTGCAGATTTCTTACATTTTTTCTCCTACCCTGAAGATGGAGGCGATACGTTCCTCCGAAACGTCGGTTAACACCACATATACACGGTGCCAAATCCCAGAAGACTGCTTTCTTCATGTGTTGACCTCTTTTAGCAACACAACTAACCATGCCATATTAGTATAGGGAAAAGACCAGAACATTAATTACTCTCCACTGTTGCAATTATATATCTATTTATCACCTTCAACAAGGATATTCTGCTATAATGCCACAATATATTTCGCAATGGATTAAACCAGCCGGTACTTCGAGCCACTCTAATTGAATACATGGCAGTGGTCACATACCGATTACTGCCAACATATGAACAGAGATAACAGACGTTTATAAGCAAAATAATAGAAGAAACTGAGTAACTGGACAAATTGGAAAATTACATGCACGAAAATTTTACAATTCCACTTTACAGAAAGCACAAATTAATGCATAACTTAAAATAATTTATAAATCACCCTGTATCATTAAAATAATCTTTCCTTTCACAAATTCTATGGGACAGAGTCTAAGAGAGGATTTTCGTTAATAAACTAGTCAAGAAATTCTTTAACTTTTATAGACTCAAAAGGACCAGCAGCCCACAACTGGGCCGTATTCTAAGCCAGATGAATCCATCTCACATCCTTACATTCTCTTTCACATGAATCACTTCAATATTATATTCCCACCTGCAGCTAGTTCTCCCAGTAACCTAACACTTGGTCCACTTTACGTTGTTTTGCAATTTTATAACTGGAAAGATACTTTTATGTATTATATTGCCCCTTTAACAAAACTGCCTTAGCATGGACTCAAATAAGCATGCTGAAACGTGCATGAACCAATTAAAGTAATCATTCTGTAATGTCTTGAGTACTGACTGTAATGAGTGTATTGCAATGTGTGTGCACTGATTCACTACTTGGTAATAAACAGACGCTATTAGTGATTGTGTAAACACCAACAGACATGCCATGCCAATAGATGCACTTACCACTAGCATGTCCTGCCAGAAGATCTTTCAGTTGTTGCGAGGTTCCTCCACTTTGCTGTAAAACTTCGACTGCTGAGACGCGCACTGAGAATCGAGCTCCTGTCTTCTGTTTCTGCTCATTAATTCCACGGAACAGCCACGAGATTGCACATGGTATCACTCCAAGTGTATTAGTTGACTCAGGACTCCCAACCATGGTGTATGTCTTTCCTGTTATAAGGGAATAAAAGAAACAGTAGTTAACATAAACAAGCTGAACTACCCAGTATGGCTAAAGCCATCCCTGTAACAGGCCGTCGAGGCTCCCACATTTTCTAGACAATCGGCTCACAGATGGCGGTGAGGTCAGCCTTACGCGCTGACTGCCCTTTACCCCCAGGAAGATTCCTGGTACTCATTTCTGTTAGAGGCTGAGCCGACTACAGGGCCATAGTGCGTCTTGAGGGTTTAGGTCAACTGGAAATAATCCAATGACCTCATCGGGACTTGAACCCGCGACCCTCCGGCTTGTAGCATAGTGCCTAAACCAACTACACTACCGTGTGTCCCCCAATTAACTTATCTTTAAGTTTATTATAATCTCCCAAAAGATTTTGAGGGCACAGAAAGCAATAAAGAAAACAATGTATTTATGCTTATATCACTGAGATACGAGTATATTCCGTAAAATAGAAGGTATTTCTGTAAATTAATTATTTGGAGATGCAATGCGTGTGCATATGTTTCACTATGGCTTAAATTTCGGTTCTAGACTTCACAGATACAGCAAACATCACTGTTCTGGGATACTGAAGTTAGGTGATTGGTTAGTCCACTCTGACGTAAATGTGAGCGCTATGGGTCGTTGACGATGACGTTTTGAATCCGCGATCGGCCCCTTGGGTTCGACGATTCGGGAAGGGGGGGGGAGACAGTTATGTGTGGCGATGATCGGATCAGGGCTGATATAAGGGAGGGGTGGCTTATGGGGTGAGGGGGGATATGTGTGTGTGGAGTTAATGATGTTTTTATGAGCGTAGAATGCAGAATGAGTCGTTCGATAGATCGATATTGGGAGGCAGGGCGAGTCCCCACAGAAACCTGGCTTTAGGTGTGTAGACGGATGAGGTAGATAAGCATGGAAGCGGACACACGATTTAGAAAACGGAGGGGAACGAAAAGTTCAGTGGCGTTTTGACTGAAGTTTAGACTTAGCTCATGCGATGCTGTAAATTTACAGCAGGCCCATATTTGTGTGTTTAATTACAGTTTGATTCAAAGATAAATATTCTTAAGGNTGGAGGCGATACGTTCCTCCGAAACGTCGGTTAACACCACATATATACGGTGCCAAATCCCAGAAGACTGCTTTCTTCATTCTTAAGGCTGTTTCCTAGGTTATATTCCCCTACTTACAGTTTACTTATGACGCTGTCAGTTGCTCAGGTAGAATCTTGAGAGCGTCATGATTTTGAATGGACGTGGACGTAAGCGATGAGGACTTTGAGGTACTTCACTGGAGGAACTGAGGAAAGACTTGAAGAATCTCATGATTGCCAGTCTCCGAGCTCAGATTTGAAATTTCGACCTATCGAACGCGAAGCAAGTGTGTTGTAAATATTTCCATTTCTGAACCCTAGTTTATATAATAACGCTGTGTCAAACGGTAGCACTTTAAAGTCCTTAAAGGAGTTCCATGAAATTATACTTACTTACTTACTAACGGAGCTGAGCCCTTCTGGAGGAGCCGCCAAATCTGCAGCTACTCAAGAATTTCCCAGCATTTTATGGAACCCGAAGGTTCATTACCGTGTTCACAAGAGCCCTCCACTGACTCCTATCTTGAGCCATATCAATCCAATCCATAGCATCCCATTCTATCTCCTTAACATCCATTTTAATATTTTCCACCCACGTACGCCTTGGTCTTCCCATTGGTCTTTTTCCTTCTGGCTTTCCCACCAATATCCTATATGCATTCCTCTTCTCCCCCATTCGTGCTACATGCCTTGCTTCAGTCCAGTAATAGTATGTGAAAACTTGCAGCACTTGAAGATGACCCACTGAGGACGAAACATGTAGAGCGTGCTACATAAATGAATATTAAAGTGTCGTTGCGTTGACGGTAAAAATTATCTATGTGTGTGTGTGTGTGTGTTCATCGTATATATGCAACAGGATGCAATTCTTAAAAATGCCGGCATTTGCATAAGTAAAACCACGAAATACCTCGTTCAGAATGTTCGGTGTACCGATTGTCGAACCGAGTACCTCCTGAGTACGAATCTACTTTGTCTCCAATTTGCAAACCCTTTCCAATGCTACTGTGCTAATCCGTGTATGCGCGTGCGTGTAGGCTTGGTGCGAAGGGTTGCCTCACAACCAGGGTGTTTTCATATCCAGGTAAAGCCCACAGGTTTAAAGCGTTCGGTAATTTGTGTGTGTGTGTGTGGGGGGGGGTGTAATACTTCAATCTCAGGATTAATAGGTACGCGTGCATACAGGAAGGTGGGGAAGGGGGCTGGAAATTTTAACTACCAGTTAAATCCAAGCAATACACGTAGATTACAAATTAATGTAAATAGATTTTGAATTGCTGTCATTTTGCAGAGTTGGAATGCTATTCGGAGAAATTTCAGTTTGAGTCAATATTTGCAGTTTTACCCATCGTAATGGAAGAATGATTAAAGTTTTAACTGACAACGTAAACAATGAGTTCAATTACAATTCTCTAAGTGCAGAGAACTGGCGTGTCCAGTTCCCAATGTTCTTTTGTAGAACCTGAGGTCCTGACAGTGGTAATTATGAAGAGCTCTACCTTCTTGAATATAATACCGTGTAGTATGGTGATAGTCAACGGACGTTTCGGAGAAATTGTCTGTTTGATTCCTCCTTCATTCTGGTTTCTTACTGGGCTTATTCTTTAAGCGTGAAGACAGAGGCGATATGTTTCGCCGAAACGAAAGGTCGACTTTTACCGGACTACATGGCGTCACATTCAAGGAGACAGAACACTTCTGTCTGTTTCTAATTTCCCCTTTACTTAAAGGCGCTATCAATTACCAGACTGTGGTAAACCCATCAAGTTCGGTAACCTCCATTATTTCGTGTCACGACACACTGGATTCGCCTGGCACTCATGCAGTAGAAACAGGTCTCCATAAATAAAGAATACTGTCTTTTGGGATTCGACGTCATGTCCTCACGGTCGGAGATACGCTAAGTAACCAATGGGATTCATGCTTGCTTCTAAGTCCCTTTTTTCTGTACCTTTAACCTGGAGACGAAAGCAGTACTTTCCTCTGGAACGTCGATGAACTTGATACCAGATTATATGGCGTCATATCCTAGTGCCCGCTGTCAGAAACTCAGATCTACAGTAAAGCCATCTACGGCGAACCTTTCAAACTAACTGTGGAACACATACGTGACGTCGCGGGGAATGTTCTGTGTCATATCGCAAAATATGGAGCAGCGACAGCTAAGTCGGGATAGTGGAGGACCACGGGCTGGACGGCCCGGGGTTCCATTCCAGTAAGGGGTACCAGATTTTTCTCTATTTCATGGCGTCGAGACCGGCTCTGGAGCCTACCCAGCCTGCTATCCAATGGGTATTGGGGGTAAAGCGGCCGGGGCATGAAGCTAACCAGTCACCTCCAACTACCTCCATAGTGCGGCTGAAAGGAATAGGTCAATTGAAAAAATCCACTTCGTCGTGACTCGAACCGGCGACCTTCTGGCTCGTAGCATAGTGCCTTAACCAAATACTCTACTTTATGCCCCCTTTTTAAGACCATACCGTGAATATTCAGTGAAATCTTGATTTCGGAGTGTCCTCCAAAGGCTGTATTGCAGACAAACGGTTCAGTGGAAGGGTTGTCCGTGGAAACGGTAGCTACAGATGGAAACTGCCATACTGCCGTTAAATTCTCAACTGCTATTCCAATAGCAAAATTTATAAACACTTAAAAGGAGCATTTTCTTATAATTGTTGTCCAGAACCATTTGAAAGAGTAATCTAAGGTCCCCACCTCAGTAAAATCATTTCTTAATTTCTAGATCCTTCTTCTACCTAAATTCGAACTATAGAGTAAGTTCTAAAATGGCTACGCATTCACATATCCTATCTCACAGAAGTTTTGCTTTTGTTGCTGATATGTAGGGCATCAACAATGAAAATTTAAAATAAGGATCGCAGAGATTTCTTACATAAACTGTAAGTTAGTCGAAAGTAATGCCATCTTTTGGTGGAAAGATGAAATTAAGGGTAAGAAGTCACAGACTAAACTTTCAAGCTGATTAAGGATGGAAATAAATAATAAAAGATGGGGCGGTAGGGTGCTTTCCTTTGATTATAAGAACTGCGAAAACACGAGAGCATACTCTCAGTTAATAGAAATTTCTCTCTCTATAAAGTCGTCAGGAGTCAGGCTTCAGTTCTTTTTAATTGAACGGCAATTAAGGAGAGTCAACATATAAAATTACTTATTACACTTTCTTCTACTTCTCTGCTTTCTACCATCTTCGTCCACAGCCATAGGATATCCATAAACCAATTAACTCACCCCCTACTTTTCTGAACTGTGTCAGCTGAAAATTGAAACCGAGAACCCCAATTTATAACGCTTAGAATAAAACTGAATTACAAGGTGATTTAATGGGAGGAGGCCCAGTATTAGGAATTATATATCATGCAAAAAATTTATCAACGAGAATGTAACTTGGCAACAGTGACCTGGCGCCTGCCTGTCCGGTACCAGACATTTTCATTACAAGCGAAACTGCTGCAGCCCCCCCCCCCTCGCTGTCTGCAGCATTCTTGAACATGGATCATCACGTGTAGGTCTGCATTTTCTAATGCAGGGTTAAAAATTGTAACCTATTCTGCAACCCAATTATCTCCATCTCCATCAATGTATATACTCCTCAAGTTTCGTTTTATTGGTAAATTTCTGGGTGGTTTATAATTATTAATTGGTGACCTCCGAATGAATCACCCTGTATATAAGGGAACACAAGGCACAGTCAGGTAACTAATGAACTATGGAACGTTACTAATTCCTTTGAACAAAGCCCTTCGTATTTATTTAAATAAGCTTGGCATGATACGAGTGACCTCCAAATGAATCACCCTGTATATAAGGGAACACAAGGCAGTCAGGTAAGTAATGAACTAACAAAAGTTACTAATTCATTTGAACAAGAACCCTTCGTATTATTTATTTATTTAAATACGCTTGGCAAGATACGAGTGACCTCCAAATGAATCATCCTGTATATAAGGGAACACAAGGCAGTCATGTAACTAATGAACTAACAGACGTTACAAATTCCTTTTCACAAAGCTCTTTCTATTTATAACAGAGTCTGGACGGCAGGCCCATTACGCCCAACTTGCAACCCGATTAAATGGGAGATATTACATGCAAACATACAAGAGTTGATAACATTTCACCCACCCAGGAAGGAACCAGACCACAGCGACCAGTATACCAGCGAAATATACTTTTTTTTTTCTGTGGCGCTACAGCCCCAATTTGAGCCTAGGCCTACCTCCATGAAACTCTCCGTTTCACTTCGGTTTACTAGATCTTACACATGCGGTAGGACTCCTTGGACGAGTGATCAGCTCGTCGCAAGGCCTCTACCTGTAGACAAACACAGAAAAACACACAAACATCCATGCCCTGAGTGGGATTCGAACCCACGATCCCGGCTTCCGAGCGAGCGAAGACAGTGCATGCCTTAGACCGCTCGGCTACCGTGACCGGCGAAATATACATATATTTTAATCTAAATTTCGACCTTAATTTAACCTTCATTAGATAGACATTAATTTAACTAATTATATTTAATACCAACATAATGGGACTAAAAAGTAGAGTATACCAAGAGTTTTGTTACCAAGCATAATAGTACATGTTACACAGTAAAAAGCTGTCACTGTGCTTAAGTAATTAAGCACTATCCCATGAAGGCGTATGTGGACAGGGATGTGTACACCCGTATTTTCTTGACCACGACACTAGTTGGTGAGTGGTCAGCTTGACGTCCCGGCCGTTTTACGCCCGGTACCCACTGGACAGTGGGGTGCACCGAGAACCAGTGTGGACAACGGGAAGAGAACATTTTTGACCCTACCGAGACTCGAACTCCGTAGCCAGTCGCTGTACCGACTGTTTAAATCAGCGATAGTGCCATATTGCTTCTAAGTATGAGTTGACTGTGTAAGGTGTTATAATAAATCTATTCACCAATTCAAATGCCCTCAAGAGCCACTAATGCACACGACAATATCTAATAACTTAGAAATAACATGTTATATAGTCATATATAAAATTAGGATCCATTTTAAAAAGCATGTTGAGCAAGTAAGCACAAACAATACACCTGATGATGACCCAATAAGGGTCGAAGCATGTCGTGTTTTAAGATTTTAATGTAAAAAAATCTGTATTTATTGCGTCGGAACGGGTGTAGAAATACTGTGCTCATTAACTGCAATGTAATAAGCATAAGAATATGTTTACATCCGTCTAGAAAACCGAGATTAACGGCCGTGGGGACCCGTTACGCTGACCACGCGACATCCTCTATCCGCAAAAGTTAGCACTAACTATGCCGACAAGCGGCGATCGCTCGCTCGGTATAGTTCGCTTGCGGACTACAGAACAGGGAGTTTATATTTTATATGTTTATATGCAGACTATACTGAGCTAACCAGGTTTGAAACTATGATTTCCACTATAGAAACAAAAGAAAGAGTACTCACCGAGCCTGGCGTGTCCGAAGCAGAAGAGGCAGCCATCCGTCCCGTTAATAACGGCGTGAATCACATCAGTCAGGGCGCCCGAGGCCACCTCCGTCTCGAAAGAGAGAAAGAAATCACGTCAGCACACCTTCCATGTTCACATTTGCTCTGCAGAACATCTGTGGTACAGACATCCAAGAGATCAATAGCATTGCGTACTGTATTCTGGGTTTTAGCGCCGTGTAGTTCGGAGATAACCCGACGTTTCCGTGAAAAATATCAACCTGAACATTCAAAATTGAAGGGTAAGCCAAGCAACAAACCACCTCAGCTTGCTGTCACTCGCTACCCCTATCCACCAACCCTTCTTTCTCTTTTCAAGCTTCAAGGGGTTATCCTGTAACTTGTGGGCTTTCTTTTCAATCCACCCCTTGCTATAAAATATATCGAACACGATTTTTCCATTTCCTTCTATTGGGGTAGGGTCGGTAGAAGCTATGTGACACCCTCTGTCTTGACGTAATGAGTCTATTTCTAACTAATGTTGTGCAATCATTGGTATTCAGAAGGCAATAAATTGATATTCAAAAGCCCCCCCCCTACAAAATATACTCCGTATCCAGAGGATTTGATTGTTCACCCGCCCCTCTTCCATTCATTAATTAATCCAGTCCTGTTTAGTCAGGTTTCTATTGAGAAAAATGTTTTTAGAAAAAAATGTTGTTTGAAATTCAGATTAACTGCGATTTCCCTGTCAACTTCGCTGCGTTACGCTTAAGCGTACAGGTTCAGAGGCGGCTCCCATCTAATAATTTATAAATGACGTAATAATTTACCGATGAAAACGCAACCTGGCAACACTGGGCAGGCGCCTGTCTGCCCAGTTCCTACCACTTCCTTCAGTCTCGCTTTCCTTCTGGTATTCTGGCCGCAACTTTCGCATTTTTCTTGTCGGTCTGTGTGTCCGGGTGGAAGAAACAAATTTCAACATTTTCCGTAACCATATTATATTCACATCTACAAAAGTATGTACTCGCCAAGTCTTGCTTTCATTTGTATATTAATAAAGTAAAGCTATCCCTGTCACAGGCCGTGGAGGCCCATACGGTTGTGAAATGTTGAGGTTCCCACATTTTCTAGATAATCGGCTCACAGATGGCGCTGAGGTTGTCAGCCTTACGCGTCAAGCTATCCCTGTAACAGGCTGTGGAGACCCATAGGGTTGTGAGACGTCGAGGTTCCCACATTTTCTAGATAATCGGCTCACAGATGGCGCTGAGGTTGTCAGCCTTACGCGTCAAGCTATCCCTGTAACAGGCTGTGGAGACCCATAGGGTTGTGAGACGTCGAGGCTCCCACATTTTCTAGACAATCGGCACACAGATGGCGGTGAGGTTGTCAGCCTTATGCGCCGTGGAGGCCCATAGGGTTGTGAGACGTCGAGGCTCCCACAATTTCAAGACTATCGGCTTATAGATGAAGGTGAAGTTGTCAGCCTTATGCGCCGGCCGCCCTTTACCCCCCCAAGAATATTCCTGGTACTCATTTCTGTTAGAGGCTGAGTCGACCCCAGGGCCATAGTACGGCTGGAAGGGTTAGTTCAATGGAAAAAATACAATTAAATCGTAAATCGAACCCGCGAACTCCCGGCTTGTACCATCGTGCCTGAATGGTAAATTAATAACTATAATTAATTATTAATGTTTGAAGGATATGGAACGAAGTGGGCGGGGCCTAAATATACCTGCAGGAACTGAGCAAACGCATTAAAATCCCAGGCTAGATAGGCGGTATCCTGCCCGAGATATGAACCTGAGACCTACCGAATATGAATCAAGAGTGGTAACATTTGACAGGGTAAATGGTAAAGTTATCACTGTGCTTAATTAAGTACCATGCCATGAAGGCATATAAGGGTTCTGGATAGTTCCACTTATTCTAAACCTCGACCACAGACAGATGTGACTGGTGAGCTTAACGCCTTGGCCGCATTATCCACGGAGAAAGGTAAGTGGCCTCAGACTTCGGTCGAGATAATGTGGAGATAAATGTCTGGCCTTGTAGGGAACGGAACTTCGGTTCCTCGGTCATCCAGCCCATAACAAAGTCATTATCCTGAATAGCTAGTATTTTCTTAAAATTATGATTTTTGAGATAAAAACAAATGCCACGATTTTTCAAACACTAACAGGTTCTATATTTCTATTGTCTCTATAAAACATGTGACGCCTTTGTGGTCTAGTGGTCAGAGTTCCTGGCTACAGATCCAGAGGTGCCGATTCGATTCCCAGCACTACCAGGTTTTCTGAGAAGTAGTGGCTCTGGAACGGGGTCCACTCAGCTTCGTGAGAATAACTGAGGATCTAATTGAATGAAAAAGTAGCGGCTCCGGTCTAGAAAACCGAAATTAACTGCCGTGGGTATCTGCTGCGCTGACCACGCGACACCCTCTATCCGCTAAAGTTGGCACTAACTTCGCCGACAAGAGGCGGTCGCTAGGTCGGTATAGTTCACTTTCTTTTTTTTTTTCTTTTTGTTTGTTTCTCTAAAACATCTCTGTTGGTGCGTCATGCCCTAAGTTGGCAACCTTTCGGAAGAAAAGTCCCATGTCTTCAACAAGATAATGTTTAAAATATAGTTGCACTCTCTAATGATCATGTAAGTGCCTACGTCACTATCTGATGGCGACGTGAACTCACAGATGTTTTAGACGCAATTTACATGACCAAGCGTCTGACGAATTCTTAACTAGTCAACAGCTACACTCTCTGTGAGATTTCCCTACTTGATTTACATAGGAACTGGTGTAAAATATGAAAGGCATATCTGCAAACAGCGTCACGTACTGACGAAGCCGGTTTTATTAGCAATTCCCGTAGACCAATAAACCGCATCCTTACACAGCAGTTAGGCCAACATGTTCGTTATCGCGTGCAGCAAGGTGGGTGTTATGACAGTCATCAGAATGCCATTTACTGACGTCAAGATGGCGCGTCCCCAAGACAGCTTCACAATGTGTTTCACTCTTTATGGTCCGTCCGTCACATGCAGACTGCAGGCTTCTGTGCATACACGAGCCTCCTCCGGTTGGTGGACAGTGTAGAAGGAGGGGCGGAGAGGCAGGAGAGGATAGACAAGGAAATAAAAGTATATTCTAAAGGGTTCTGAGGATGGTGGATGACACACAGAATTATTGGGGTTTTGGAATTTTTCCCTCGTCCGGAATTTTATGTAATAGAGGACACGACGTTTTGGAAACTGGATCTGTTTCCGAAACGTCGTGTCCTCTATTACATAAAATTCCGGACAATGGAAAAAGTCCAAAATCACAGTAAGGAAATAAAAATTATTTTCAAGACTTTAAATAACTCCATGGAGAGGAGTCGTGTCTCAGTAGAGTACAATCTGCACAGCTACTTACGAATTTTCCAATAATTTATGGAATCTGAAAGGTTCATTACCGTGCTCACAACATCCCGCCACTTGTTTCTATACCGAGCCAAATGAATCCAGTCAGCACCCTCCTATATTACATAAGATTCATTTTAATACTATCTTCCCATCTATGCCTAAGTCTTCCTAGTGGTTCTTACCTTCAAGTTTTCTACCAAAATTCTGTAAACGCTTTCCTTTCCTTCCACACGTACTATATGACCTGCCAATCTCATCCTTATTGATTTGATTATTATGATAGTATTTGATGAATAATGCAAAATTTGAAGCTCCTCACTTCGTAACTCTCTCTAATCTTGTTATTTCACCTCTCTTAGCTCCAGACATTCTCCTCAGCACCCTGTTCTGAAACGCCCTCGTTCCTCCCTTAATGTCAGAGACCAAGTTCCACACCCATACAGACTCAAAATTTCTCCTACGCTTAATTAATGAAACATTATGCCATGAAGGAATATAAGGGAGTGGAGGTATAGCTCCATCATTCTTGATCTCGGCACTATATGAAAGTGAGCGGTGAGCTTCACACTCCGGCCGCTTTACCGCCAGGGAAACAGTACCCGATGCCCAATGGACAACGTGGAGCTCGCAATTTTAATTTCTAAGTTCTCGGATAGCAGAATGATGAACTGGAAAGGATTTGGAAGGAAGCGGTAGTGGCGGCATTTGTCTGGAGGGACTGAGGAAAAAGGACGACAAAACTCAGAACGTCGGTGTCTCCACCGAGATTCGAAGCGAGCATCACGCGAATACGAGTCCAGAGAACCCGTCCTGAATATCACACAGCATGCAATGCGAACCGAGGGGAGACACGTGTGAAGATGAGAGGCTTTTCAAAATAACTAAGAAAAATGCTACTTCAGTAAAGAGTTAGGAGGGTTGCGTGCTATCAGGAGACAAGTTAAGACTGAACTCAGACGCAATTAAGAAGTATCGTATTTCCAGGTAAGAGCGTCTGTCGAGAGGTCAGAGTGGCATCATGTTCGGGTCACAAGAACTGAACTTGCTTCTTCAAGTTCTTACATTTCTCACGGGATATCCCTGTTAACTTCTACCTACACGTAGGCCAATATAAAATAGGGGGCCATGAGAGTCATATCGCCCAGAAACCGGGCTTAGGGGGGGCCCAAATAGACTCTTATTTAATTTAAAAATATATAATAAGCAAGAATGTGGGAATTATGTTTAAAATGCATTTTTGATTTATTATTCTTTGGCTTTCATCGATATTCGATTGCATCTTTTAGGAGAGAAAATTTTATTTTTTTAAATTGTTTGATTAAATATTTATTATCACATATTTTGTGATTAGAAACAGGGTTTGGATTAGTAATTGGGTTTATTGGACTCGTATAAAACTCGTGACTCGTTGCTTTGTTACTGTATTCACAAGGCGTTGCTACGTAACGGCTTCCAACAATCGTGATTCTTCCGCCTCCGCGCTCACGCCTCCGGCAGGGGGCGACACAAAGTCAGAGTCAGAGTTACTTTACGAATGGCGGTTTTCGGCCAATCAGTTCATCTTGGCTCAAAGCCCCTTGAGANTTTTTTTTTTTTTTGCAACTGAACCCTTGACGTCATAGTCATTATGTAACATCCTCTCTGACGAAAGGATGGGTTTGTCTCTTATGAATATGCTTGGCCTTTCGTCAAGTGTACATAACGCACGTAGAGCATGTTACTGAAAATTCTTCCTTGTGCACCGCATACAAGCCTGACTTTGAGCAATTTGGCTTTCTCTCGAAAGTCCTAGTTATCTAAACGGTCTTTCCTTCTCAAATATTACGCCGTGTAGTCTGGTAGACGTTTATCGACGTATCAGGAAAACTTCTGTTTCCGTTTTCAGGGTCGAACAGTAAGACAAGCAAACACCACCAAACAGCAACGGAGCAACTGTGTTTGCTTTTAGCTTGCTCATCTTACTCCTCGATCCTGAAGATGGAGGCACTAAATGCCTACGAAACGTCATCGTATAGTCTGGCAGATGTTTACAGACGTTTAGGAGGGTCACAGGTGAACTACCAGATTACACAGTCATATCCCAGAACATGGTTATTACAAAATTTCAACGCTGAGTTTTAACTAAAAATACACTTTATGAAGTTGATGATTTTTTTCTGGTTTATTAAAATATATTCTGCGGAAATAATCAAACAGTACCCACCAACATGTACCATTGCTTTTCATTTGAAAGACGGTGTAAACCATTTGTAACTTGAAAATTTCATAGCAACTAAAAGGGTTCAAACCCTCAAACAACTAGGCTCTTAAATTTGGAGCAGAAATCAAATGTTTGCTTCATGACAAAGACAGGGAAGGTTCTCAGAAACGTGGGAATTCTGTTCCAAATTCGATGCTCGAAAAGATTTTATCAATGCAAACCAAGTTAGATGAAACAGGGGCCGCATCATAGATCAAACGGTTAGTCGCTGGCTTCCCACCGCGGCGGCCCAGGTTCGATCCCGGGTCTGGTCAAGTGGGATTTGTGGTGGACAAAGTGGCGCTGGGGCAGGGTTTCTCCGAGTACTTCGGTTTCCCTTGTTAATCTTCATTCCACCAATTGCTCCACAATCACCCTCACCTATCATCTGGGGCTGCTACAATAGGCCAGAAGTGGCCGCAGTACAAGGGACTTAGTCCCACCCCAATAGCAATAAAACAAATAGATGAAACAGAGGACATTACACAAATTCCGCAACACTGTACAATTAACAAGCATTCGCAATATTACTGTACTCTATCAGAGTAATGAAGGAAACAGAACAAAGTGGTTTTTATAATCAGTCAACAAACTGTAACAGTATTAAACGCAAATTGATTGAGGAGTATGTTCATCGCAATATTAAACACTTTAGTAATTAATGTTTTTGTGTATCAAACCTCCACCTCTCTCTGTTAATTATAAATTCTGTGCAGATAACTCATTCTGTTTTCTTGTTTTAATGACGAAAATCTCATTATACTGCAATAAAAATTTCAGTGAAATCTAACTGCTTTACCTTCATTACTAGCTGATGATAAAATTTACCTTCAGTAACTTGAGTTAGAGATACAGAAAAAATCTCATTATATGGAAAGGAGACTTCGGTATCGCAAAGTAAGTCAAAAGAAATTAAGTACGTACTCTGTCACTCACTCACGGAGCTGAGCCCTTTTTGAGAAGCTGCCAGTTGTGCAGCTACTCAAGAATTTCCCAGAATTTTATGGAACCCAAAGGTTCATTACCGTGTTCACAAGAGACCTCCACTTATCCCTATCCTGAGCCAGATCTATCCAATCCATACCATCCCATCCTATCTCCTTAAGATCCATTTTAATAATGTCCACCCACCTACGCCTTGGTCTTCCCAGTGGTCTCTTTCCTTCTGGCTTTCCCATCAATATCCTTTACGCATTCCTCCTCTACCCCATTCGTGTTACATGCCCTGCCCGTCTCCGCCTCCTTGTCTTGATCATTCTAATTATACTTTGAGAAGAGTACAAGTTATGAAGCTCCTCATTATGCAGTTTTCTCCAACTTCCTGTCACTTGATCCCTCTTCGGTCCAAATATTCTCCTCAACACCCTGTTCTCAAACACCCTCAGTCTGCTCCCACAGCAAATAAAATAATAAACAAACAAAAAATTAAATGAAGAATCAAAAGAAATTAAAGGAAAAAAAAATGCAACGACGAATTAACGTAAAACTGCTACAAGGGCACTCCATGGTTTAAAATGTGTTTTGTGCAGTTCTAGACACGTGTCTATCTGATAGCTTTCCTTGCGGAATAACAGCAGAGGGGGGCCATGACTGATTTACTTGCGCGTGTGTTCAGGTGTGGATCTGCTTAGCCCGCGTCAAGTGTTGTCTGCTTATTGGTAACGAAACCAATTTGTCGTGTTACAGCCGATTCTCTGCTCTTCTCCGTGTCAAGGGCCCATAACCACCCTCCACTATCCGCTTCGCTCGCTTCAGTGAGTTAAAAATTCAGTTGAATCTCACTTGTCATCGCTAAACCTACCGCCAGCTTCTTTTCCAAGATCTCGGACAAATCCGCGGCTCCGAATGTCACATTCTTCCCCGATTTTCTCAGTCAGAATAGAAACTGACATAGACGACACAAACATGAATGGTTGATTCTTATCTTCCGGTCTGATTGCTTACTGATTCACTCTGGTTTCTTGCTTGGCTTAATCTTCGAACCTGAAGATGGAGGCGGTATGTTCCTCCGAAACATTGTCTCACTATAGGGCGTTATATTCCAGAAGATACAGCTCTTCATAACGACCGCTGTGAGAACCTCGAGTCCTACAGAAGTATAATTCTGCACGAAGTCCTGGAAAGAACTGACGAAAAATGCCTTGAAGATTATTTAAGACAAAAAGTCGAAGCAAAAAATGGCCGATATGAGATTCTCAAAGCTGTTACTATGAAGATTGGTATTTTCTGGTTGTAACACTGCATAATCCGACAGAAGATTTCAGACGTTTCGAAGTATACTTCATCTCCAGGGCCGAGAATTTTGTGCCTACCTCACAGAAAACAAATTGAAGTTCCATTAAAAAGTCCAATCAGTTAAAGCTGGGGGGGGGGCAATACAAAGAAATATACACTGTTCCACACCTACATTTCCGTCTTACACGCAACTTCTTGTCTCGTCACCTTTTCTCCGCTTATGGCCATCATCAGGTGCTGTCTATCTTGCTAAAATTGTTGCACTGAATGTCAAAATTATGTATCACGTATTGTCGCGTTATTTCCTAATTAAAATAATTTAAGTTTGATTAAAATTAATGTTGGAGCTGGGACATCGTAGTCGGTATAGCGACTGGCTACGGGCTTGACGCCGGATGGGTCGAAGTTCGAATACCGGTAGGATCATAGCCAATGGGTACACGGGCTCTTTAACTAGGGTGAAGCGGCCGGGGCGTGAAGCTGACCACTCATCTCCAACTAGTGCAGGGTTAAGAAAATATGGATCTATGCATCCACTCCAAACGTCTCTGTTGTATAGCGGTCAGAGTTCCTGGCTACAGATCCAGAGGTTCGGGTTCAATTCCCGGCGCTACCAGATTTTCTGAGAAGTAGTGGGTCTGGAATGGAGTCCACTCAGCCTCGTGAGGATAACTGAAATATTTGAATGAAAAAGTAGCGGCTCCGGTCTATAAAACCGAGATTAACGGCCGTGGAAATCCGTTGCGCTGACCACGTGACCACAGAGGCGGACCACTGAACATGACACTGAGTACACTAATATAACGCCAGATGACAGCGACACGGGGCTTGTACTGAATGTTTTGGCTCAGGTAGTAGTTGCTGATTCACAGCTGTGGCTATGAGCCAACACGACGACAGGAAACTGCGCTGTCACTTATCCCGAGAACCCAAAATCTGACACTCAGCTCTTACCTGTGAGTCATCGTGAGTGAATATGGCGTCGAAAGCGAACATTTTTGGGGCCGCGACACCGACGCGTCGATCTTCAGGAGCTGCAGTACCGCCACAAGCCGCAGGATCGAACAGCGTCACTTGTTTCTTACGGCTGTCGACGCTGAGGAATGACGTTGACCCTCCAGCAGGTGTCGGGGCGTCGGATGTTGCTGTGTTTCCGCCAGTGGGTGCTCCGGAAGTAACGGGTCCACAAGTGGCGCCTCCACACACCCGCAACATCACCTTCACCTGTGAAGTCAAAAGGTGAAGAGGTAATACGTCACTAGTTCTTGTTGGAACTGAGGTGACTATGAAGAGTATACTGTCTTGTAGGAAGTAACGCCGACGTTTCGGAGGACCCTATTGCCTCCAGCAGAGTAAGCAAAACAATTATATTTATTCTCCTTCGCTTTTACACTTATACAAGTCACCATATCACAATTAATCTTAACCTTATACAATCCAGCATCTCAATTGCTGTTCTACTACATTTCAGCGAATGCTGGACTTCACCTCTCTTCAATATATTGCATTTCACATACCCACATCAAAATATTAACAGTACTTTCACAATGGATACGATATATGAAATGAAAAGACGGCTCGTTAGTTCGTGACCTACTACATATAACGATTTTACTGTTAATTTACTTGCCTTTCTACAGCCGTTTCCCATATCCCCACGAATTACATACAATATTAGGTTCGTCTAACGCGGATTTATCAAACGCGCTTCTTATGAGGAACGCATTCCCTGCGTTGCGCGAAGTTGTATTTAATTATGACATACAGCGGTGAGGAGGGAGGTGGGAGGACTTCAATTTGGGGGGGACGAATGTTATTTTGTTAAAAGATGGGCAGATTGCGCCCGCTCGCCATACAAGTCAAGATGGAAAGGGCAAAAGTAACGACCCGGGACAAAGGGTAGAGGGATTTCGATTTTCTGAATTAATGATGAATCGCATAATTTCGTGGCCTTTACAGCAGCTGGGTTTAATTATGAAGTTAAGTCAGGAGGGCTCCATGAGAGGCACGTACAGAAACTTGGCAGCCATCTCATCGCCCGTCCGAAGACAGGAGACCCAAGCTGCAGGCCCTCCGAGGTGCGCGATGATTTCTAGTCGGCAGTCTACATACAGAGAGAGGCAGAAAGTATAACAGATGTGCAGATGAAAGCGAAAAGTCAGAGACGCTTCATTGTGGGGGGGAGGGGAATAGTATCACTTTGTTAGAAGGCTCCTAGACTCCACTCGCTAGTCCTGATAAGGGCAGTGTGAAAGTGAAGACGGTGGCTTGAGACAGGAGCCGCGGGATTTTGATATTCTAAATTAATATCGACGTAAAAGTAAAGCTATCCTGTAACAGGGCTTAGAAGCCCACAGTTGTTGAGACGTCGAGGCTCCCACATTTTCTAGACAATCGGCTCACAGATGGCGGTGAGGTTGTCGGCCCTTCACCCCCAGGAAGATTCCTGGTGCTCATTTCTGTTAGAGGCTGAGTCGACCCCAGGGCCATAGTGCGGCTGGAAGGATTAGGTCAATTGTAAAAAATCCAATGACCTCATCGGGACTTGAACCCGCGACCTTTTGGCTTGTAGCCTAGTGCCTCAACCAACTACATATTTTGAAGAATAAAATAGTGGCTTTGACAGCAATGGAGGTTAATTTCCATTAAATTAATATTCAAGCAGTAGCAACCTGGAATTGGGAAACATCTCAGTATTCCTGTATCAAGATGGTAGGCCGCAGGACCTTCCGGTTGCGTACTGATTCAACAATGAGTCATTATTTAGAAATTCAGTTCGTATCTCACAGAAAACAGTTTCACTGCTGTAAAAAGCAGTCGATTAATAATACTCGTATTTACAGAAAGGGTTGCTGTTTATTCTAAGAATCTTACAAAACTCATAAATACACATCATAGACAAAATGCAGAATTACATGTTACCCTTCCAGTTTCGGAATAATAATCGAGCACTAATTTATTTCCTTAATGGACAGGGTACTGCCCTTCCTCGCAACACACCATCTTACCGCGTAATTCTGTTGGTGTTTACTGGCTACCAGGGTTATTAATGATCCTGCTTGCTTTTCCCAGTCTTAATTGTAGCAAAGTGTCCATCCCTCGCCCCTGCAACCAATTACTAATGTGTTTCCTCTTACTAGAAATATTACCAGATTCTTTGAATCTGTGACACAAACAAAAGGATTGGGCATGCACAAAGACCCAACCCCGAACATAAAATTAATTACTAAAAGTTAAATAGCTCACGGTCAGCGTGTTCATTTCGCGTGAAGAAAGTTCATGGGACGCTGTCCATAAACAGGTTACTGAAATGTAACTACTGTCTTCAAACGAAGAGAAGGCGAGGCAATTAACTATGTTACTCCCAGTATACTGTGCAAGCTGAAAACATTGGCATGTTTGCGGGCGACTCGTCCATAAACAGGTTACTGAAATGTAACTACTGTCTTCAAACGAAGAGAAGGCGAGGCAATTAACTATGTTACTCCCAGTATACTGTGCAAGCTGAAAACATTGGCATGTTTGCGGGCGACTCATCACGTCTCCCTTGGAACAACGAAGGCCAATGTTTCCACAAATGAACGACATAACGGTCAACTTAGGAAGGCAATACGGAACATTTCCCTCGACTGCTCTTCGTTGGAGGATAAGAGGAAAATTGAAATTCGATTTGAGATTATTTTTAAGTTTTGCATCCTTTTGCATGAGTATAACTAATAATACAAATTCCACCACCAAAGCAACTACAATTTAACTTACGTTCCACTACATGTTTCGACCCTTATAGGGTCATCCTCAGGTGTTATGGATTTGACAATCGAAGCTGCAATTTCCAAATCACGTTCATGTCGAAAGAGGGGGACGAGGATTGGAAAGGAAAACATGAATACACAAAATTTCATCAGGTAATTAACAATCTGCGTCCTACTTAATTAAAATATCTTAGAATCCGAAAACTGATTATTGCGTTTGCAAAATCCCGCAACTCTTCACTATCAAGAGGTACCTGAATCCAATTTATCTCACATTCCGTATCTCTAAGACACATTTTAATATTATATTCTCATCTATGCGTACGTCTTCCCAGTGCCATCTTTCCTTCTTCTTTCCATCTTCAGGTTTTTCTTACCGAAATATAATATAGATGTCTGTTATTTCCCATGCGTACTATACGCCCAGTCCATTTCACTTTCCTTAAGTTTCCAATTTTAATAATATTTTGAGAACAGTACAAATTATGAAGTTCCTCATTATGTGATTTTCTAAAACCCCTTGTTCCTTCCTCCCCCTTAACGTGCAAATATTCTATTCAACACCCTGCTCTCAAACACCCTCAGTGTATGTTCTCAATTGAAATCTAAGAAACCAAGTTTCACACCCATACAAAACTAAAGGTAAAGGTACAGTTCTTTATTTCTTAATGTTTATAAGGATTTAGACTGCACGAGAAAACAAAATATTTTCACTGGATGGTAGAAAACAGTCTCAGATTTCATCTGCAACCTAACGGAGAAGAGTGGCCCGTGTGTTCGACGAGATTTTCGAAATGGTGATCCTGGTCCCCCTCACATGTCGCAACTATAAACGATACTGTCACGTGATGGACTATAGACGGGGTTTGGATTGGCACTCGGATTTACTGGACTCTTAAACACATTACCATTTACATAGAGACTGATGTTCTCAATCACGGTTTTCACTGCGTTGCTTGGTAGCGGCTTCCAACAAATAAAAAGCCAGCATATAGAGAAAACTCATATATACTTGTGTACCATATTTTAGGAATGTAGATTTTGCAGTTGTTCAGAAAAATGGACCTTAATACAACATCAACGTTGTGGAGACAGACCTCCATTTACAGTTGTATATATAATAATCACCGTACTTAAAAGGTTAGCTGAAGTAATCGTTGGGTGAAAATAAACTTTGACCAGTTTCATACATTCGCTCATCATACCAGAAGCAGGAGGGATGTACTAGGTACGACCTATATACCTAATACATAAACTCCGTGGCCTACAGTCTGCAAGCGAACTATACCGACCGAGCGATCGCAGCTTGCCGGCGAAGTTAGTGCCAACTTTTGCGGATAGAGGGTGTTGCGTGGTCAGCGCAACGGATCCCCACGGCCGTTGATTTCGGTTTTCTAGACCGGAGCAGCTATTTCCTTGAAATAGCTCAATTATCCTCACGAAGCTGAGTGGACCCAGTTCCAGACCCATTATTTCTCAGAAAATCTGGTAGCGCCGGGAATCGAATACGGGACCGCTGGATCTGTAGGCAGGAAATCTGACCACTAGACCACCTATGGAAAAATTATGGCTCCAGTCGCTTGAATTACACTTGTAGGATTTGAGGTTCTCACAGCGGTAGTTTTGAAGAATTCTATCTTCAGCGATATAACGACACGCATTCCGTTGCAAGTCAAAGTCAAAAGACTTTCAACGAACTACACAACGTTACGTTCGAGAAGACAGTATTGAGTAGCCTACTTGCTTAATGGAATACAAACACAAGCTTATATTCAGGGGACGTAACAGGTCTCCGGGCGCGTCCTGAAGCAAGCTTTAAAGATGCCTTGAATAAAGTCGAACATCTCAAGCCTTATAGCTTATTCAATTATTTTGAGATGGTACTAAAGTTTCCTCGTTAGAGACACATGCTACTACACACAGCAAAAACATCAGTTTCATGTGAGCGAATACAGCAGGTTAGGTTACGTGCTAGATTTCTGTGCATCGTGCAAATTGAATTATTTATTGAAGAGTTTTATCTTCTTGGATGTGAAGAGCGTAAGTCCGATATATTCACCTACGTTTCGGAGGAATATCCTGTCTCTATATTCAGGGTTAAAGGCGAGGCAAGTAACAACTTCTACAAGACTACACGGTGTCACAAAAGATTAGCAACCAGACAACAGATCGCTCTGCCATTTCGGCTTACTCTTCGACCTTGAAGATGGAAGCATTACTATCCTCCAAACAAGTCAGTAAACTTCAAAGAGATTACACCACGTCACGAATTATTTATTTTGGAGGGTGAGAGGACGGGAATTTTGGCATGAAATATATTCATATGTGTGTGTGGAGATTATATGATGTCATACTGGGGAGATCCCGAGCTTAGATCTTGGTCCACAAGTCCGGTTATCCTGTCAGAGATTTCTCCTAGTCTTCCTCAGTACTTCAGGCAAAACAGCTGACCACGGCCGATTCCTTTCGAAA